TAACGGAAGACAATGTACTCCGGGAGTTTCTTGCGACTTGGAATCAGGCCGATTAATTTCCTCGATTCCAAATGGCTCCCTAAGGTGGTGAGTGCTTGGAGCTGCTGGGGGATGGGGGACCAAGCGTTCTGGGAAATTGGCGGCTCTTACCAAATTGCTGGGTGATGTAGAGGAATGAGAGTGGGACGATCAGTTGCAGGAGTTGAGATTTGTTCGGGTGGAAAAAATCACTGGAGGCGTCTTATTCAAGGGAAGAGGGCAAAAAATCATCCCCTGAAGAAATCTGTTGTCGTGTTGAATCAATTTACTTTGAACGAAAAAGAAAGTATATGCATAAACTTGATTCAAGTATACTTTATACTCGAATGAGGGATGGGTGTTTCAATCGTCTCATAAAGTAATTAAAAGTCAGGAAAATTCAGGTAAATATGGCCTTGAATTTTCAGTTAATTTAAATTCAACCTATTTTAACACTGAATATGTTATTATCATGCCATTCCTCCCGATATCTCATTCAATTCACGTCGATGTTTCTCCTCCCGAATCTCCAAAATTCGCGCATACTTTGCATATGTAGTCAGGCCTCTTACAGCAAGCGATCAGAACTTCTGCAGATAGTTGAGCTTGAGGGGTTTCGCGGAGGCCGACTGGTCCGTAGGTTACGTGGATGATCACGAGTGGGTGGGGGCGGGGAGAGCGGAGATTCGGCGCTGGTTGAAAGGAGACGTCGGGAGGGGGCGGCCACCCTCCGAATTTCCGTACACTAACTACCCCATCGTCCTGTCTACGGAATTCCATCTTGCAACATAATGCAAACCAATTCCTCGATTTTACCAATTTTATCGACTTGTTCATAGAAAAAAAATTGGAATAAAAATTACTGAAAAGTTAATCGCGGAGTGGAATCCATTTTGCTTCCGAATGGAAGCATTGTATTCGTTAAATCCGAGGTTTCAAATTTTTTGTGTCAAGATAACTGAAATTTTGGCCTTAGGAGTTCGAAGGGGCTCTTTGTGTCACTAGGACTGATAAACCGTGATTTCGAGCTCGCTTCGCTCGATTAGATCGCGATTTTTGCGCCTCGTGATATAAAATATTGTATATCACACGACGATAAAAATATTATCTGACCAATGTGATTATAATCCTCGTCTTCTGCTGTTGGAAAAAATTATTTTGAAAGCAATATTCAGGAAAAAGCAAAAAAAATTAATGTTGGGGCAGTATCGGCTGTCAACGCTGGCGCAATGTTGGCAGAATGTTGGGCGCCAACGTTGGCGCAATGTTGGCGACCCAAATTGGGGCAATGTTTACTTCAGATGATTGCATTACCTGTTGTTGAATAAAAAAATTTGAAACCAATATCCACGGAAAATTAAAAAATTGTAACGTTGGAGAAATGTTGGCTGCCGACGTCGAGGCAATGTAGACTACCAACGTTGTGGTAATGTTGACTGTCAGCGTTGGAGCAATGGTGAATTCAATAAATCATTAAATTCAATGTGAAATACATTGTCATAAGAATTCCATTCGGAAACAAACTGCTAATTTATTAGCAAAATTAGATTGACTATTTTGTGATAAAAGCAATTTCCCACTTGTTCAAGTCTTTTTCAACCTATTGGCAAATTTCACTGTACAAAATATGTTCCTTTTACCTAACGAATCGTAAGATATCCCCCCAAAAATTATCTTCTATTGAATTAGCATTTCGCCATGCGATTACCTCTCCGCACAGCTAAATTACCATTTTACCATTTTACAGGTAATTCTCATCCAACTTTCCTCTCCGTATTATCTCCGACAATGGATGATGGATAAATTTGAAATGAAGGCGGAGGGCGGATAATTGTGTTTATTCGAATGTAACAAATATTTGAGTGAACATTTCATTGAAATAACTAAAGTAATCAATCGAAAGGCTGCGGTCATTTGGAAATAGCCTCATAAACTCGGTGGTAAATGGCTCGACGCGTTCAACACCCCAGTGCCCATAAACATTTACGTTAAATTATACAAATGCCTCCCCTGTTTGATGCATTATATCCACCTATACTAATCACGTAATTCGAGAGTATTTGTTGGCATTTGGATAACGACGGCATTTTAGGATGGATTTATCGAATATATCAATGCGAGATGATTCAATTATTTCATCAATTTTCATTTGTTGCAGAGGGAATGAAAATTGAAAAGTTCCCCTCGAGGAATTCCCCAACATAAATTTTTAAAAAATGTTATTAAAACATTTTTTTTGTTATTCAAATTTGAAAAATTGAACAAAAAAAATTGGAAAATTTCTGCTACGTTGCACGCACCCAGAAAAATAGTTTATTTGGAGTAAATAAATTTTTTGAGGTAAAAAAATTATATTGATTTGGATAACGATGGCATTTTAGGATGGATTTATCGAATATATCAATGCGAGATGATTCAATTATTTTACAAATTTTCATTTATTGCACAGGGAATGAGAATTGAAAAGTTCCTCTCAAGGAATTCCCCAACATAAATTTTTAAAAAATGTTATTAAAACATTTTTTTTGTTATTCAAATTTGAAAAATTGAACGAAAAAAAATTGGAAAATTTCTGCTACGTTGCACACACCCAGAAAAATGGTTTATTTGAAGTAAATAAATTTTTTGAGGTAAAAAAAATGATATTGATTAAATAATTATAGAGTACGGCATATTTTTGCACGAAAGAAAATGCAAATAATCGATTTGTCATATTCTTTGAGCTGAACAGAAAATTTCTGTTCTCTCCACAGAATTGTTTTTGTTTCAAATTTCCAACATCCACAAAGTTTCAACTGCTTACTGGCCTCGAACAGCGTTCAACAACTTACTAGCTGCCGCACCTCACCCCATCACACACCACAAATTTAGTTAATTGAAAACCGAGGAAACTTATCTCATTGTCGGAGATGCTCGAATGGACCTCCCTGCCTTTCTCGAATGAACGATCATACGGAGAGAAAAATTCAATAAAAATGACGAATCTTTTCCGTAATTCCGGAGCGAAATGTAGGAAATTTTACGGAACTGTCACGGAATTTTTCCGGAGCGTTCCGTGATTTTTAGCTGCATCTCCTGTGAAAAATTACGATACCGTCACTTGAATTTTCTGAGCCGATTCCGTAATCGGTGAGCGAACTGTGAGTTCCGTAATTTTTGCTGAACATTTCTCTCCGTGTGGGCAAACACAAGGGTTCCCCGACATTTCTCTGCCGATATTATTGTATATAAAATGTAATATCGATCAAATTATTAGATTTTTAAAAAATTAATTTATATTAGATTTTCGATAAGCAATTGCAAATGAATTTTGAGATTTTCAATTATGATTGTTACAATTACAGCGCGCTGTAGCGCGCGTTCGGTCTCGTGTAGGAAATTTGACAGAACTGTCACGGAATTTTTCCGGAGCGTTCCGAGATTTTTAGCTGCATCTCCTGTGAAAAATTACGATACCGTCACTTGAATTTTCTGAGCCGATTCCGTAATCGGTGAGCGAACTGTGAGTTCCGTAATTTTTGCTGAACATTTCTCTCCGTGTGGGCAAACACAAGGGTTCCCCGACATTTCTCTGCCGATATTATTGTATATAAAATGTAATATCGATCAAATTATTAGATTTTTAAAAAATTAATTTATATTAGATTTTCGATAAGCAATTGCAAATGAATTTTGAGATTTTCAATTATGATTGTTACAATTACAGCGCGCTGTAGCGCGCGTTCGGTCTCGTGTAGGAAATTTGACGGAACTGTCACGGAATTTTTCCGGAGCGTTCCGTGATTTTTAGCTGCATCTCCTGTGAAAAATTAGGATACCGTCACTTGAATTTTCTGAGCCGATTCCGTAATCGGTGAGCGAACTGTGAGTTCCGTAATTTTTGCTGAACATTTCTCTCCGTGTGGGCGAACACAAGGGTTCCCCGACATTTCTCCGTCGATATTATTGTATATAAAATTTAATATCGATCAAATTATTAGATTAAAAAAAAATTAATTTATATTAGATTTTCGATAAGCAATTGCAAATGAATTTTGAGATTTTCAATTATGATTGTTACAATTACAGCGCGCTGTAGCGCGCGTTCGGTCTCATGTAGGAAATTTGACGGAACTGTCACGGAATTTTTCCGGAGCGTTCCGTGATTTTTAGCTGCATCTCCTGTGAAAAATTAGGATACCGTCACTTGAATTTTCTGAGCCGATTCCGTAATCGGTGAGCGAACTGTGAGTTCCGTAATTTTTGCTGAACATTTCTCTCCGTGTGGGCAAACACAAGGGTTCCCCGACATTTCTCCGCCGATATTATTGTATATAAAATGTAATATCGATCAAATTATTAGATTTTTAAAAAATTAATTTATATTAGATTTTCGATAAGCAATTGCAAATGAATTTTGAGATTTTCAATTATGATTGTTACAATTACAGCGCGCTGTAGCGCGCGTTCGGTCTCGTGTAGGAAATTTGACAGAACTGTCACGGAATTTTTCCGGAGCGTTCCGAGATTTTTAGCTGCATCTCCTGTGAAAAATTACGATACCGTCACTTGAATTTTCTGAGCCGATTCCGTAATCGGTGAGCGAACTGTGAGTTCCGTAATTTTTGCTGAACATTTCTCTCCGTGTGGGCAAACACAAGGGTTCCCCGACATTTCTCCGCCGATATTATTGTATATAAAATGTAATATCGATCAAATTATTAGATTTTTAAAAAATTAATTTATATTAGATTTTCGATAAGCAATTGCAAATCGTAAACACGAATTTTTTGAATGGTTGCATGAGGGCTGGGATGGGCTGTGAGATCAGGGTTTATCGGCGTTACGAAATGACTCAAAGACGAATGACGAAAACCGATAACAACTGGGATAATCGTAGGCGCGCTTTTTCCATTCGAGCTTCAATGACTTGAAGATATGGAGGAAGAAAATTATGTGGGGGTTCAGTTTCATGGTGATTTTGAGGGCGGACGGTGTTCATGTCGAAGATACTCCGAGTGTTCAAGTAAGCACCAGTCATAATTAATAATTATGGTGAATTAAACAAAATAATGAAACTGTTGGGGAAAACTGTTTGTGGAGTGAAATTATTGGCAGAAATGGTTGACTAAACGACTTTCATTTCGAATCGGACAAATTTTTGGGAATGTGAGACAGAAGAGAGTGGAATGCGTTCTGCATCAAAATTGTGACATGAAGTGAATTAAATATTCACGTGACGATAATCTTGCGAATATCGGGAAATTAAAAGTTTTGGGAGAAATCGTGAAGTGATTGTTCTGTTGGAAATTTTTCTAAATCCTTTCTCTCTGGAGGTGTTTAGGAAATCCATTTTAAAGTCAAGAAATTTCTTTTACAGTATTTAGGGAATATCCCTGCCTCTATAGGATTTTTGTCAAAAAAATACTGAAGGATTTTTTGTAGACCCTAGAATTTTCTACAAGACAGATTTGAGGTTTTTTCTGAATCTGTTTTCAATCTATTATTCTATAAATTTCATAATCTATCCATCCATCATCAGAAGTTCAAGAATTTTATCCGCATTACTCTGTAAATATCTCTCAAATTCGTAGATTTACCGAAAAAAATAAAAAACCCTCTTTTGTAGATCACAACATTTCCTACAAAAAAGCTCCTTTGACAAACTCTCTAGAATCATTCACTACGAATATATTTTAAAAATAGTCCACACGTGATTTTTTAATTCATCTGCTTTGACAATTTCAGGACTAATTTTTTTATCTCCATCCGAAAATTATCTAGACTTTCAGGGTTTGAATATCTTTTGATATTTTTGCTTGAATCCACTACTTTCCCAGATGTTTTTACAAAACTATCCACGAACTCATTTTTAAGTTCAAGAATTTCATCCCCATTACTCTGTAAATACCTCCAAAACTACTAGATTTACAAAAAAAAATCAAATAATCTCTAAGTTACAAAATTTCCTGCAAAAAAACTCTCTTGACAAATTCCCTAGAATCGTTCACTCCGAAGATATTCCAAAAATAATCTCCACGTGATTTTTCTATTCATCTTCTTTACAATTTTTAAAATCGTCCGATATTTTTGCGTGAATCCCCAACTTCCACAGATTTTTTTACAATAAATCCGCGACCCCATCTTCAAGTCCAAAAATTCCGTCCCCCTTACTCTGTAAATATCTCCGAAACTACTGTATTTACCAAAAAAAGTCAAAAAACCTTTTTTGCAGACTACAAAATTTCCTACAAAAAAGCTCCTTTGCCAAAGCCCCTAGAATCCTCCCCTCCGAAGATATTCTCAAAATACTCCTCGAAATATTTATTCGTCCGCTTCCACAATTTCAAGACTCATTATTTTGTTTCTTAAATATTCATTATGTTCTTTAAATAATCATTCAAAGTTCATTGGCATTGACATGACAAACTAAGACGCCTATTTTTTTTTAACGAATGAATCCCACGTGCGTGAATTCAAACCAGAAGGAATATATATACCACAGCGCCTCGGTGTGGTGCAAGGGGGCAGGGAGGGGGGCTACACGAGAATTCAAAACCAGATACGAACGCAATAGTGTGAGTAATCCCTATATCTCACACAGATAAATGCGTCAGCGATCACGCAACTCCGATGAAACGTGTTGGGACCCCGAGGAGCCACTTGTGAACCGGCTCCGACACCGGCAAACATCATTCAATTATTGTAACTCAGGGTGAAATAATGTAACGTCAATAATCAATAATTCCTCGTCATAATTATGTCTCAAACGTTGAAGAACAATTCAAATTCAAGATTAGACCCCGCGATTTATTGTCCATTGGAAGATAATTGAATAAGACGATAAATGTAAAATTATTAATTTTTTTGCAGATTCTTCAACAGGAGAATGGCGACAGACGTACGAGGTGTTGTTCTCTCCGGAACTGATCTTGCCAAGTAATTAATTCCGTTTAATTTTATTTCGTTAGTAATTCCTTCAATTCTTATTTCATTTTTTTATTCATAATTTTATTCACACGTTCATTCAGCCATTTAATATTCAATGTTTGAAGATGATGAGAAATTATTTGGACTTGAAGTCTTGTAAACTAAAAATAAACTGAGGGGATACGATTGGAATTCTCGGAAAAAATTTAGGTGACCTTGTCAGAGCACCAGGGCCACGTGCCTATAGCTAACCTGCGTAAATGCGTAGAATCTCCATTCATGTATATTGAGGGGAGATTGCCTTGAAGAGAATTGTTTCCTCGGTATAAAATTATTTTTGTCATGTCTTTGATGTTAATATGCGAAATCGGTTCTCGAAAAACGTGTGATCGATAAAAATATTGGAGTTTTCGTAAGAATCCATTTAAATCTGTCGTGTTTGTCCGGGAAAAATACTCCGGAAATAAATCCCGGAAAGTGTTTCCCTCGAAAAAATGTTTCCTAGAAAAGTTCCTGTCTCCAAGAAAAAAAAATATGTAAAATTTCCCTGAAAAAAAATTGAAATAAGACCGATATTCGAACACATCAATTCATCTTTATTTAATGTAAATGTCCATTATTTTTTTTAATTCGACAATCTCTGAATATTATGAATAATTTACACACCGTTTCGTCAAAATAGAATTCAATTCTTCAAAGAGAACATTTACAACGAGACAAAATTACCCATTCCTCAAGCTAAAATTATTAATTTTCAATATAGTCAGCAACATACGATAAAATGAATGTGAATTTAAAATTCACGTATCAACATTGGTCGGTAAACAATGAATTGACTAAACAATCGCGAATGAAAAAAGACGATTTTTGTCAGTAATTTTTTTTATTTTTCCCGTAAGAGAAAAAGAAGAAATTTAATTAGCATTTTGTGAAGAAAAACTCCCAACAAAATTCTACATGAAAAAAATTCGTAAGGAAAATTAATGTCAATGAGAACAATTCGCCGAGAAAGGGAAAAAAATTGCGGAACAATCCACGTAATCAGCAAGGGGCAATCGTTTTCCGGCAATTTTTATAGGAATGGAAGAGAAGAAATCTGAAACGTTGAATTCTCAGGTTCATCACCGAACAAGTACGAAATTGTCACGTAATTTTTCCCGAAGAAGTAAAATCTTCCAGAAACTTGCCGACTTATTGTGCCTCCAAAATAAAAAATTCTTGAACGTTCAACAATTTTTATGAAGTTGGTGAGTTATTTCTACGTTGCGTTCCGTAAAATTTCTCAATCGTTGGGGAAAAATTACGGAACAACTTGTCCCCACAGCGGTGAGTCTCAGACGGCTACAATTTCAGCTCCGACTCGCACTTTTTATTGAATTTTACTTCGCTCGCGGATAACTTTCGACACGTAATTTTACGTTTTTTTCTCGCAATTTTTATTGAATTTTTCTCTCCGGGCATTTCTTACTGTAATAAAAAACTATATAGTTCTGTAAAAAATATATATACAAAAGCTTCTCCCACCATCTAATTTTTCTTCACAAAAAATGTAATTAAAAATTCCTCAGTGTCTGCTTTCAATCATTTTTATCAATTGCATCTTTCTCCCAGGGAAATTCGAGATGACCTGACGAAACAAGTATCATCCCTCCGTTCAAAATTACCGGACTACGCTCCAGGTCTCGCCATTGTCCAGGTAGGTGGACGTGAAGACTCCAACGTCTACATCCGCATGAAGATCAAAGCGGCAACTGAAATCGGGATAAATGCTACTCACGTGAAACTGCCGAACACCACAACCGAGATGGAATTGCTCAGTAAACTTGACAAATTGAACAACGATCCGGCTACTCACGGTATTATCGTGCAGATGCCCCTTGATAGCGTCAACAGGATCAACTCTCACCTCATCACCGATACGGTGTCACCTGAGAAGGACGTTGATGGGTGAGAAATCCATTCTGGGTCATTTGAAAATGCCCATTCGAGCCTGAGAATCATTAACTCTCGATATTTTCGCCACTTTGTGACGATATTTGGGTTATCGTTTGCCGAGAGAGATGGGGAATGATGCAATGCATTACGTCAATCGCAAGTGATAATTGCGGAAAAACAGATGAGACCTTTAACATTGATTATTTATTCGAGAGAATGTTTGCGCGTGATGGGGGAATATTGGACTGAATGTTGATTTTGTTATCTCTGAAGTAAAATTTATAGAGGGATATTTCAGAGAACGATTCAATACATTTTTTTGTCACAAAAAGAAATGGGCCATTTGACTCAAATAAAAATTTTAATTTGAAATTTTTGATTTGTTTTGCAAAAACAATGATTTAATTATATCAAATACAAAATTTATTAATTTCAAATAAGTAGATATATTTGTTATTAAATTCAAAAAAACAATTTATTTGATTTGATTTGAAATGACATTAAAATTAAATAAACAATTTATTTATTTCAAATAACGAATTTTCTTATTTCAGGAAAATCACATTTTCGTGTATTTTGTCAAGAAAATTCGAAATTCAACGATATTCGCGTGCCATGTAGAAAGAGGCCGACCACTTCGCTTCATTCTCCCCTAATAATTATTGCATTATTCTCCTTCAATTTTTTAAATCAATTTCAATGCAATTCAATGCAATGCGAAGCAGTTTAACTCGATTCTGACTATTGGCCAGTTTTTGATGAATATCTCGAAATCTAAGGGAGATTGCAAAGTTCTTGTTAGGACCTTTTTTGTAGTCCTCAATTCGCTCTATAAAAAAGGTCATTACGAAAATTTCGCTATCTCCCTTAGATTCGGAGATATTCCTCGAAAACTCAGGCAAGGGCTAAATTCCGCAGCCATAATAAATTAATAATATCAACAATAAATTGATAATTAATGCCAACATTAATTAATTATCAGTATCAAATGATCGTTCACCAAGTTCGAAGAAAAAATGCACTGAATTCCAAGAAATAAAGAAAAATCTTCATTTATTATTAATGAAGAATTCAGTTGGAAGAAAGAAAAATTTATTAATAATAAAAAAAACGTTCATTTTATATAAACAAAGCCTCAAATAACGAATTTTTCAATTTAAATGAAAACTTTATTACATACTATTCGAATAAACCGATTTATTTCATTCAAATAAATTATTTTTCTGTATGTAATTGATTTTTTTAATTGTTTTGTTCTACTCAGCCTCAATACTATCAATGAGGGACGAGTGGCAATCGGCGACATGACTGGATTCCTCCCCTGCACTCCCAATGGATGCATCGAGCTCATAAAAAAGTACGAACTTGCACTGATACATCCTCACTCCTGAATAAAAGAAAGTATCCACAAAGTTTTTCGTAATTACAGAAGTGGAGTCCAAATTGCCGGAGCGAATGCTGTCGTCCTGGGGAGGTCTAAAATTGTGGGGACGCCAGTGGCTGAATTATTGAAGTGGCACAATGCTACCGTCACAGTGTGTCACTCACGGACGAAGGACTTGCCCAAAGTGGTAAGCAAAACTTGAAAAATGCGTCCAAAACTGGAACTGTCATCTCTTATTCACTGGCTGAGTTTTCGAGGAATATCTCCGAATCGAAGGGAGATAGCGAAATTTTTGTAATGACCTTTTTTGTGGGGCGAATTGAGGGCTGCTAAAAAGGTCATGACAAAAATTTTGCTATCTCGCTTAGATTTCGAGATATTCCTTGAAAACTGGACGATAGTCAGAATCGATTGGAGCCGTTTTCTATGTTCTCATGTTCTCTAATTTTATTCACTCTGTCCTCAGGTGGGTCAGGCTGATATTCTCGTTGTTGGAATCGGACAACCGGAGATGGTTAAGGGGTCGTGGATCAAACCTGGAGCTGTTGTTATTGACTGCGGAATTAATGCTATTGCAGGTAAAAGTAATTAACAATTTTAAAAAAATTTCCAACAGAATTATTGCTGATTAATTATGAAGTGATTGCTGGAGAGACAAAAGGAAATTTTTGTTAATCTTCTGTAGCTCTTGAGTGGACGAGAAAAATGGAATCAACTTAACAGAAAATAAACAGTTGTAGTTTATGAGATACAGGGGGCGGTGGGGCAAAATGGATAGTTTTTAGATTTTTTTAAATGTCCATAACTCCAAAAGAAATTCATCAATTGCATTCCATGAAAATTTGTAGAAATCAGGAAAATTCAGTAGAACTTAATGGATCTTCCTGTTGTTCAAGAATTTAGAATTTCAGTGAATTTTTAATGAAATATAAAATTTCAAGATTTTTTTCCCTAAATCGAAATCCCTCACCCTCCCGCTATGACTCAGTTTGCAGCTCATAGAAAAATCAATGGGAAATGTAAATTTCAGTTAAATTATTCCATGAGAATTCCTTAATTCGAGAAAAAAGACGAGAATTCCTTAATTTATTTTATATAAAATAAATTGAAATTTGCACGAAATCGGAAATTTCATGCTTTTTTCCCTCTAAATCGCATCCAGTGTCACACTCACCTGAAAATTCAAGAATATATTTACCGAAATTTTCTGGCTTTCTATTCATTTTCAGGGAAAAATGGAACAGAAATTTACAGTTCTCTTTGATTTTTCCACGAAATTCTGAATTTTCAATAACGAATGATGAATTTCCTTGAAATTTCAGTGGTAATTAAATTCGATAAAATTCCCAAAAAGTGTAGCGGAAATTTAGACTAAAATTTTCAACATTATCGATAATTAACCCGATCCATTCCCCCTCACCCCCCATTCCATGAAGAATCCAATCTAAAATCGATACCCCCCGCTCTCCCCCAGCGACTCATTTTGCACTCCTCACAGGTTTTCTATTCATTTTCAGGGAAAAATGGAACAGAAATTTACAGTTCTCTTTGATTTTTCCACGAAATTCTGAATTTTCAATAACGAATGATGAATTTCCTTGAAATTTCAGTGGTAATTAAATTCGATAAAATTCCCAAAAAGTGTAGCGGAAATTTAGACTAAAATTTTCAACATTATCGACAATTAACCCGATCCATTCCCCCTCACCCCCCCATTCCATGAAGAATCCAATCTAAAATCGATACCCCCGCCCTCCCCCAGCGACTGATTTTGCACTCCTCACCATGAAGAATCGATTTCTCCAGACGCGACGAAGAAATCTGGTCAGCGTTTAGTCGGGGACGTGAAGTACTCCGCCGCGAATTTACGGGAATTTTATGGTTTTCTGTTCATTTTCAGGGAAAAATGGCACTAAAATTTACAGTTCTCTTCGATTTTTCCACAAAATTCTGAATTTTCAATAACGAATGATGAATTTCCTTGAAATTTCAGAGGTAATTAAATTCGGTGAAATTCCCAAAAAGTGTAGCGGAAATTTAGACTAAAATTTTCAACATTATCGACAATTAACCCGATCCATTCCCCCTCACCCCCCCATTCCATGAAGAATCCAATCTAAAATCGATACCCCCGCCCTCCCCCAGCGACTGATTTTGCACTCCTCACCATGAAGAATTGATTTCTCCAGACGCGACGAAGAAATCTGGTCAGCGTTTAGTCGGGGACGTGGAGTACTCCACGGCGAAGGAGGTCGCCTCCTACATCACCCCAGTCCCCGGGGGCGTCGGTCCGATGACGGTTGCGATGCTGATGAAGAACACAGTCATCTCCGCGGAACGTGCGGCGCAGCGTCTGCTCTCCACCACGTGGAGCCTGACCCCCCTCCCCCTGAGACCGCAAACCCCGGTCCCGAGTGACATCGAGATCTCGAGGGGTCAAGAGCCGAAGCAGATCGTCTCCCTCGCGGAGGAGATCGGCATCTTCCCGAACGAGCTCAGCCCCTACGGCTCGAAGAAGGCGAAGGTGAGCCTCAGAGTGCTCAAGCGCCTTCAGAACCAGAGGAACGGAAAGTTCGTGGTGGTCGCGGGAATCACTCCGACCCCCTTCGGCGAGGGCAAGAGCACCACGACCTTGGGACTGGTGCAGGCCCTCACCGCTCACCGCAACAAAAACTCGATCGCCACCCTGAGGCAGCCGAGCATGGGCCCCACTTTCGGGGTCAAAGGGGGTGCAGCTGGTGGCGGATATTCTCAGGTAATGAGATCCCTTCAGTAAATATTTTGCAGAATTTTTTGTATTCTTTCATTCGATATTTCGACAGCGAAGCGGTAAAGGTTCACGTCGATTTTGACTATTGGTCAGTTTTCAATGAATATCTCGCAATCCAAGGCAGATAGCAAAAATTTTGTCATGACCTTCTTTGTAGAGCGAATTGACGGCTACAAAAAAGGTTATTACGAAAATTTCAATATCTCCCTTAAATTCGGAGATATTCCTCGAAAACTCAGCGAAGAGCACGTTTTACCGCTTCACTACTGGTATTGTGATACGAAGAAATATCTCCGAATCTAAGGGAGATAGCGAAATTTTCGTAATAACCTTTTTTGTAGCTCTCAAGTTTCTGTAGAAAAAAGATTATTACAAAAATTTCGGTATCTGCCTTAGATTGCGAGATATTCATTGAAAACTCACCAATAGTGAAAATCGAGTTGAATCGTTTCACCGCTTCGCTACTGATGGTTTGAAAAATCATTTGTTTATAAATTTTTATTGACGAAACCATTGCAAATAGGGAAAAATGTCTCAGTATTCTTCTCCTGCAGAAATCACGTGCCTAATGCATAAAAAATTATTCTCACCCGAGAATATTAAATTTTTCATCATTTGTTCATGTATTTAATTATAAAAAAATCACCGGAAATTGGCGTCTACATGCAGGTAATTCCCATGGAGGAGTTCAACCTCCACCTGACGGGCGACATCCACGCGGTGACAGCGGCCCACAATCTCCTGTCAGCCCAGATCGACGCGAGATGGTTCCACGAGTCGACCCAGACCGACAAAGCCCTGTACGATCGTCTAGTCCCTACCGTCAAGGGCGTGAGAAAATTCTCCAATATCCAGCTGAGACGCCTCAGCAAATTGGACATCACCAAAACCGATCCCAACAGTCTCACCGAAGAGGAGCAGTCGAGATTCGCCAGGTTGGACATAGATCCTGAGAGGATCACCTGGCCCAGAGTAGTCGATCTCAACGATCGCTTCTTGCGAAAGGTAATGCCTCGTCGCGGTATTTATTCTTATTCTGACCTTTGTGACCCATAATCTGACCCTCGTGGCCCTCATTCTGAACCTCATTATATCCCTCGTGCCCCTCGGACCTTCCACTCCTCTCACACCGAGACGATTCGAGACTTATGTGAAGCAATGGGTTAATCAGGCCCTTGTGGCCCTTAATCGGACCCACAAAACCCTTAATCAGGCCCTTGTGGCCCTTATTCTGACCCTGAATCTGGCTGTTGTGGCCCTTATTCTGACCCTGAATCTGGCTCTTGTGGTCCGTATTTGGACTCTAATTGTGACCCTTAATCGGACGTTTGTGACCCTTAATGTGACCCATTAAACCCTTAATCTGGCCCTTGTGGCCCTTATTCTGCCCCTGAATCTGACCGTTGTGGCCCTTATTCTGATCATGAATTTGGCCCTTGTAGCCCTTATTCTGACCCTGAATCTGGCCCTTGTGGCCCTTATTCTGACCCTCACGACCCTTGTGACCCTGAATTTCGGAGTCTCAATTTTAAATACCAAATTTTGATCACCTGAAGCACAGATCCCCATCAATATTAAATTTCTGCAATATTACAAGAATTTGACCCTTACATTAATGAAGGTTTAAAATACGTTGATCTAATTTTTCAAATAATATAATATTGATAATCTGATTTTTTTCGAATAAGGATGTATTCAAAATTTGTTAATATAAAACTGTAAATTTACCACTAAGTGAACAATTAAAATTTGTTAAAAGGGGATTTTCAACTACACAAATACCCATCTCAATTATTGATTGATAAAATAGTTAAAAACTTGAATATCTTAATTGATGGCTACAGTATTTAACGGTAATTAAATATCACAAATTTGGCCCTGACCTGAAGTCGGTTTGGATTTTCCCAATATAAAGATATTTTAAGGAATTATCCAAATTTTTCTGTCTATTTTACATGAACGTTGCAAATGTTTACATTGAACAAAACGAAATGAGCTGCGTAGGACTCGAATAAAAAAAACTAAATCTACTTTTTGTCTTCGAATAAACAATAAATAAAAAATATTGGTACCCAACAGGTGACGATCGGGCAGAGTCCGACTGAGAAGGGTCGCACCCGAGAGACGAGTTTCAGGATCTCCGTGGGTTCGGAGATTATGGCGATCCTGGCCCTGTCCACGAGTGTCGAGGACATGAAGGAGAGACTCGGCAAGATCGTCGTAGGATTCTCCAAGACCGGAGTCCCTCTGACAGCTGAGGACTTCGGTATGACGGGTGCCATGGCAGTCCTTCTGAAGGACGCCATCGAGCCCAATCTCATGCAGAGCTACGAAGGTACCCCAGTGCTGGTTCACGCCGGGCCCTTTGCGAATATCGCCCACGGCTGCTCCTCGATAATTGCCGACGCCATAGGGCTGAAGCTCGTGGGGCCCGAAGGGCTCGTCATCACCGAGGCTGGCTTTGGCTCTGACATTGGAATGGAGAAGTTCTTCGACATCAAGTGCAGGACATCGGGGCACGTTCCCAATGCCATTGTCTTGGTGACGACAATCAGAGCCCTGAAGATGCACGGAGGGGGCCCAACGGTGACACCTGGGGCACCTCTGAAGAAGGAGTACGTGGAGGAGCATCTGGATCTCGTGGAGAAGGGTCTCCCAAATCTTCTCAAGCACATTGAGAATGGCAATCACTTTGGAGTGCCTGTTGTCGTGGCCATCAATGCTCATGGCAGTGACACTAAAGCCGAGCTGGAGCTCGTGAAAACGGCGGCGATCAAGGGTGGAGCTAGGAATGCCGTCGTCTGCACCCACTGGGCCGAGGGGGGAAAGGGCGCCCTGGAGCTTGCTGATGCGGTGATCGCAGCTACTGAGGAGGCCAGCAAGTTTGAGCTGCTCTACGACTTGGAGTGCAGTATCGAGGAGAAGATGAGGACGATCGCGGAGAAGATGTACGGGGCTGGGGAGGTGGTGCTCAATGACAAGGTCAAAGGGGAGATTGAGGAGTACAAGAGGTTGGGGTATGATAAACTACCCTTGTGCATGGCCAAGACTTCAAACTCTTTGACTGGGGATCCCAGTGTCAAGGGGGCGCCGAGGAGATTCCCATTGGAGGTTAATGATATTTTTGTGTCGACTGGGGCTGGGTTTGTGGTGCCTATGGTCGGGGAGATCATGATGATGCCTGGACTGGCTACCAGACCGGCGATTTATGATATGGATTGGAATAGTGAGACTGATGAGATTGAGGGACTCTTCTAGATAATACGGGGGTTCACTAAATATCGAGACCTTTAGTCTTTACTTTCATTCCCTAAGACAATCTGTCATGAATAAAATTTCTTTCGTTAATTAGTGGTAAGAAAAATTACTTAAGTTACTGAGAATACCAACGTTTGTTGGTAAAACTAATTATAAGAATATTTTTGTACTGCTGAACAGTCTGTGCGAGTTGAACCCATTAAAACCTTGAGTTCAAGAAATTGTCTACATTTTTATTTATCTTATTTAATTTAATTAAAACTGATTGATTCCATTTACATGAGACAATCAATTAATTCAATTGTAACAATAGCTTGAAAACCAACTTCTGAGTAATTGTTATTTATGAAATAATCACCACAAAATATCAAAAGAGAACATTTTTTTGAAATACTTATCTTCATTTTTATTAATCCATCCATTAAAACTGATTGATTTCATTTACATGGGACAATCAATAAATTTAATTTCAACAATAGCTCGAAAATCAACTTCTGAGTAATTGTTAATTATGAAATAATTTTCACAAAATATTAAAAGAGAAAATTCTCCCCAGAATTAATTAAAATTCTGAATTGAAATAGTTATCTTAATTTTTATTAATCAATGCACTAATAAAAACTAATTAATTGTATTTACACATGACAATTCACTCATCTAATCTTAGCAATAGCTCGAAATTTAGCTGACCTCGACCTGGGATTATCTTCGATCTCCTGATCACTGGGCAGGATGACGTGTTTGTGCAGCATCTTCCAAGGGACTTCAGTGATTTGATTGATCTCTCCATCACCAAAGACCTTTCCATAGTTGTAATACCTCAGGGGTGATGTGTTAGCCACATCATTACTGACATTACCAGCCAGATGTCTCTTCACAATTGTATCTTCGAGAGAGTGAAAGCAAATTGTTATCATTCGACCATTGATCTTCAGATACTTTTCAGCTATGAACATCGCGTAGTTTATCTCATTCATCTCGTTGTTAACGAAGATTCTGAGGGCCTGGAAGGTCTTCGTGGCTCCATGAGCGAATCTCCCCAGCTGATCGGTCCTCAACCCTCCCCCCAGGACTGACTCCACGAGTCTAGCTAGCTCCCAAGTCGTCTCCAGCTTTTTAAAACTGAATCTGGCATCGACGATTGCTCTTGCGATCTTCTTTGCTGCCTTCTCCTCGCCATAGAACTTTATTATCTTCGCTATCTCGTCCTCTGATGCTCGCTCGAGAACGTCCGCTGCTGTTGGTTCATCTGGAAGAAGGTAGGGGTGTGAGGTTTAATGATGTGAAGATGATGTTCGAGGGATTATGAATTTATCAAGGGTTTTTGAAACAGGTTTTCTAGATCTATCGCATATTTTTGTTTTATTTTCATTTTTTTTCCATTCTTTTTGTGGACATTCCCTCGTAAAAAATCTTTTTGAAATAATGCCTTTCTTTTCTCTTGAAAATAACGCCTTTTTGTTGATAAATAAATTTTTAAGAGAATTTTCATGCACATTTTTCATAATTACAGAGAGAAAATTGTTGATTTTATTGCAAGAAATTCAACAAAAATTTATACGTTGAAGATTTTTTTCAGTTCAATACCAAAAAGAATACTTTTATTTATCTTTCCTTAAAAAAAAAATAAAAAGTCATTTCTCTTCTTTAAAAGACCTTTTTGCATAGGAAATTTCCTCTTCTACAAAAAAAGATTTCTGTTCTATTCTTTATTTGAAAATTCACCCAATTTAATTCACTCAAATCAATTTTGATGTATAAAATCTGATTCCTGAAAAAAATCCTTCCAAACATAATACTTTCATTTACATAAAAGTTATTTACATTTATTTAAATCATAATAATCTCCCTAGAATGTAAATCCTCACCTGGAAAACGCTGTCCATCCATTCTCATGTCGAGAGGTCCATCCTTAGACAATGAGAATCCTCGTTCTGCCACGTCGAACTGCATCGACGAGCACCCAAAGTCGAACAAGATCCCATCAATGGAGTTGGGACGAACCTTGTGAGTCGCCAACAACTCTGGAAGCTCTGAGAACTTCCCAAGGAGAGGAATCACCTGTTCATTCAAAAATTCCTCAAATTACAATGCATTTGATATGAAGAAAATTTTCACTAATTAAAAAACTTGCGACACTGATTTTATTCCCTTTAATAAAATTGAAGAATAAAAATCAATAATTGAATTTTAAACAAAAATGTATTCACACATGTTTTCACCACAAAAAAATTTCTATTTTTTGTTAATCAAATATAATCTCCTGTCGAGAAATTTTCTATTTTCATGAATTGATCAAAAATTCGTACCTAGGAGATGATTACATTGAGGAATGAATTGAATGTTGTTTTCTCGAATGAAGCCGATGTTTAAATTGAGCTTTCCGTACATCACATTGAACGAAATTTGTGATATCCAAATTTGTGTTGAATTGCCGTAATCTGTGATTCTGTTATTGTAAACTAATGCGATTTTTTTTAGTCAAGAAATATAAACTTCTTTCAACTCAACGACATCTTACTACAATCTCAAAGCTTTTTCCGCGTAACGATATTCATCCTGATTCAACATACGAAATGCTTACTTCAATTATAATTTACTTGGAACAACGTATGATCGTGTTGATTGAGATAACAACGTATTTAGTCATGAGAATAATTTTGATTGAGTAAACCAACGAATTTCTGGAGTTGGCAAACTTTTGGCTAGAAAGAGATCAAATACTCTCATTATTGCGACAAATAAAAGGAACTTCAATTCTAGAAAACTTCGATTTCTCCCAATCAACTGTACCTCAAGAAGAGATAACTGGTATTCACTTCGAAATCATGTTTATTTGAAAATTAAATTGGTTAAAATTGAATTCCCTTGATCACCTGTTCTGGGAACTGTTGAGCCATCTCATGAGCAAGTTGGTGAGCCACTGGATCCCTATCCAAGGCGAATATCCGGATATCTGGTGAGGACGACAGGATCGTGGAGGTGTGACCACCAGCGCCGAAGGTCATGTCTATGAAAGTGTCCCCAGAGGACGGTTTCAGGTACTGAACGACTTCCTTCGCCATCACTGGGATGTGGAGCCTCTTCTGGGGGTCGGGTTGGGGTTGGGTGGAGTACTGGACCCTTTCTGAACATTTTATAGGGCTTTGGAAAGGTCTGGAGGTCTTGGAGAGGAGCTGGAGGGGCCGAAAGCAGGATTTAAGAGGATGTAGACGATTTATTGTCATCTTTCCTGAATTTTGCGAATATCTTCTCGAAACGAGACTTATCTTCCTCTAGGAAGTACTCCTGGAGCTCCGGGGTGAGCGCCAGATTGCAATGCTCGGGGGAGAGGCCACTGGCGGTGGCGGTGGATGCCCTGGCGTAGAGCTGGGCGTAGTGGTTAGAGGCGAGACGTCGCAAGCTCTGGTAGTAACGATCACACTGCTCTCGGTTCACCTGGGACTGCTGGATCTCTCCCTTCGAGAAGGCCACCTTTATCTGGTCCCTTATGTGCTGGGCCAGATCTCTGGTGAGAGAATTGGGAGAGGGAAAAGAATTTCAGAGCTGAAGGAGAATTTCGAACGATAATCAACAGTTAATCCGTAAAACCGCTTAAGTTGATTTTTACTTTCGCTCAGTTTTTGATGAATATCTCAGAATCTAAGAGACATAGCCAAACTTTTCTCATCACCTTTTTTGTAGAGGTGATTGAGGGTTATAAAAAAGGTCGTGACAAAAATTGGAGTATCTCTTTTAGATCGGCTAGAATCGGTTGTATAGAAGAAAGGGACAATAAAAATAATGATGATGATAACATTCAACTAAGTTGAAAATCTGACAAAATTAGTTGAAAAGAAATCTTATTCAATTTAATAAAATGAAATAAACAATGAATTATGCGTGATAGAAGGAAATTATGTCCAAAATAACCATTCGGAAGAACATTGCTAATTCGTTAGCAAAAATAGCTATACCATGTGAAGACAAGAGGAATTTCCCACTCGTCTTGAAATTCACACTTCAATAAATTAATTCAATACCAGAACATCAATCGACAATTGAAACAAACGAATTTACAATTCTCCCTTCGAGAAGGCCACCTTTATCTGGTCCCTTATGTGCTGGGCCAGATCTCTGGTGAGAGAATTGGGAGAGGGAAAAGAATTTCAGAGCTGAAGGAGAATTTCGAAGGATAATCAACAGTGAATCGGTAAAACCGCTCAAGTTAATTTTTACTTTCGGTCAGTTTTTGATGAATATCTCAGAATCTAAGAGAGATAACCAAACTTTTCTCATCACCTTTTTTGTAGAGGTGATTGAGGGTTATAAAAAAGGTCGTGACAAAAATTGGAGTATCTCTTTTAGATCGGTTAGAATCGGTTGTATAGAAGAAAGGGATAATAAAAATAATGATGATGATAACATTCAACTAAGTTGAAAATCTGACAAAATTAGTTGAAAAGAAATCTTATTCAATTTAATAAAATGAAATAAACAATGAATTATGCGTGATAGAAGGAAATTATGTCCAAAATAACCATTCGGAAGAACATTGCTAATTCGTTAGCAAAAATAGCTATACCATGTGAAGACAAGAGGAATTTCCCACACGTCTTGAAATTCACACTTCAATAAATTAATTCAATGCCGGAATATCAATCGACAATTGAAACAAACGAATTTACAATTCGTCTCCCGTCCCAAGTGCGCAACAATGACCTTCCGACATAACTTAACCTCCAAACCCCTCCAAAACCCCTCGAAAACCTTCGAGAACTGCCTCGACAACGAAAAACTCTCTTCTCCCCAGAAAAACAATTCAATCCCCTACCTTCCAGTCTTGGATTTGTCCAGAGGCCACGATTCCAACAGCTTCAGGAAGTTCTTGTAATTACCGGCCATGGCTCGGCCTCAACATGTGAGAATTGTTTTCGAGGCCATGTTGAAACGATCAATCGAACCAAATTTTCGGCAGCACTTCGTCATGTTGGCCACTCCGCGCTGAAATGTTGATTGAGGACTGTCAAATCTCGACGATGTTCCGCATTTGTCGGATTATTTAGTGGTTGAATATCGGGGCTCAGCAGAGGATTGTTATTTCGTTGCTAGAGATTTGCGAGAGTGAGAAAATTGTTTAGATGACGGCGGTCTGCCGTGAAGTGACAGGTCATGGGGGCCTGCCTCGGCCGTTGCTTTCCCAGTGTCACCGACCCCTTCACCTTCAGGTTAGTCATCAATTGATTTATTTATTTATCCGGGTAGTGGAGGGTAACGTGAGCTGTTATTAGGCAGCAATACGTCGGGATCGGCAGAGTGAAGTTCGTCCGTTTTTCCACTTTCAAGAGATTTTTTCGGGCTTCAAAACGAGACCTCATTCAGCCCAATTGCACCATTTGGTCGGGACTTATTGATGATTTAAAGTAGAATAAACATAACTTGAATTTTGGAGATTGAAATCTGAAATAAATTGTAAGCGACAGTTTTTGTCAATTGAGAGTTTCTGGTGGAGTTTGGGGGCAATTGACTGTCTAGTATTATTGATAATAATTAATTTAGAAGTGGAAAAATAACACAGAGTTTTATGAGAAAATCAATTCATAAATTTATCTATTTATTTACGAGAAAAAAAACTCAAAAAATTAGAAAAAAAATAAAATTCTATGTCTAATTAGAAAATTATCATCAGTGCCAAACTTTTGTAATAAATAATTCATGTTCCTGGGTACACGGACTGTAAAGGATGTCTTAATCAAACGAGGGACTACTGTTTAAAAAATAATGGAAGAAAAAATTTGATGAATGAATTCCGAACATCAAAAATAAAATGGGAAAGTACGAATGATGAATAGTTTTTTTTAGGATTTTTGAATTCATTTTTCCTCGTTATTAATTTCTAATTTTATAATTTATTTTTCTCCATTCGAAAAGATTCTCTCAAGACTGGAAAAAAGTGTTGAATTTGTTGTTTATTATTCTTTTTTTTCAGGTACTCCAGACATACTGGAATTACTCAATCCCCAGAGGAAGAACGAGCTGAGGTACTAAAAAGATTGATTACTTGATTATAAGAAAAAATTAATAGACCTATTGTTTTAATTGAATCAATCCACATTTTGTAAAATGTGCAATTATCTCCTCGATGAGATGTTTTAGGGGAAAATGTCAATAGACTTTTTTGCAGCTCATTAAATTTTCCACAAGAAAGTTCTTCTCAAATTTTCACGTAAAAGCACTCGCTATTGAGATAATTCAATTTAGAAAAAATGTAAAGAAGAAGTTTTCAAGTTTTACTCATTTGACCCTGAGTTTTGGATTAAAATTATAACGTTTGGGGTAATTAAGACAATTATTAATGCAGTTGCAGCAGTATATGAATGGAGAACATGTAGAGTCCTCGAAGAAATCAAAAACGTAAGTGCAAATGGGATTTTTCCATGAATTTTTTAATATTCATATTTATTAATTAATATCAACAGACATTTCTTGTCTCTCGATAAATTCCCCTCGATCAATTATTTTTTGAAACATTTGAAAAATCACTGTCGAGTTGGTTTACTCTAATTCCCTTCAAAATTATAAATTTCATCAAATTTAATTGAATCACATCTGTTTCTTGCTGCAATGGACAGTTTGTTATCATTTCTATCTTTAAAACGTTTCAAGGTAACTATTGAAATTTCTGTGTGTTCAATGAATGATATTCATTTTTAATATTCATGGATTTTTCATTTCCCCAGAAAAAAAATAGAACTCCAGTGTCACTGGAACTGGTTGAAGATACTCGCTGGTCAAGAGGCAGTAACAAATATTTTCGACTGGATTCTGCTATTGGTGTGTCCACGAGGTAATTGAACAGGCAATAAAACCATAGAATCTTTTCAACATGAATTTGAATCTCGATATTGAACCGTTCGAAAACATTTTAAAAATTTGAAAAAAAAAATTAAGTTCCCTTTTGGAGGAAAATTGATTGAATAATCTGAAAATTGCAATTTTTGAAAATTACGAGTATTTTCTGTAAATCATTAATAAACAATCGATTTCAACGATTTATTTACAAACAACGAATATTTAAAAAAATAATAATTCTGTGCACAATATAAGTTGAATGAGGCTGAATATTCAAGATCTTTTCACAATTTTCTCACGCAATTTAATTGACAAATTTGATGATTGAAAATAGTTGAGTCTATAGTGTGTTCTGTATCAAACTGTAAAAGACACTTGAATACTCTCAAGTTTGCAAGTTTCCATGTAGAATATTCTCAACATTTTTCCTCTAACACCTCGACTTCTGGAAACTAAAAGTGAAAAAAAAATTTCAAGCTCTGGATTGAACACTCCACTGCAGTCCCTGGACGCTCGCACCCTGCTGAGGCACCCAGGCTGTGTTTCCTCGACGCCAGTCTCATCCCTGGACCTCGAGTGGGAGCACGAGGTCCTCCCAGCCCCTCTGATCGAGCTGGAGCCCCCCCAGAGCACAATCGAATCACCATCGAGAACATCGAGTGGTGGCAGTCGACCGTCCAGTTTAACTGCATCCCCCTGGTCACGTGTATCAACCCCAAACAGTTTAGAGTGGGACTCAGTAGAGGCTGACAATGCCTGTGATCCTGACACTGAACAATTACTGACGGAAATCGAGAGATTGACCGACAAAACGCTTAAGGAGACTGGCGAATGGACTGGTGCTAGATGATAATGCTTCAATGATTTCGATTGTTGTATTTTTGTATGAAATTAATGCTGATGTGAAGAGCACTCATCGATGATCCATTATTACCATGCACGAAGAAAATTTCATAGAAATACGAAGTGAATCTAGAGAAAATTCCATTGCATTTCTGTTGTAAAATCCATTTTTCAAGAAAATCTCGTAGAAATTATTTTATAAAAGAAAATATTAAAGTTTCATTTGTCTGCATAATTTTTTCCAGTCAAACATTCTCCACAGGAATTTCCACCCTATTTTTCTTCTCTATTTATTAAATCAAAAAAACTTGGAAATTCGAACTGAGGAATTTCTGTAGAAAATATTTCAATGGAATAAATTGTGCAGAAAAATCGAATTCTATTAATTTTTTTATTGAATATTTTCCATCGAACATTTCTATGGACAAAAAATTAATAGAAAATTGGATAAAAATCCGATAGAATTTTCAAATTTCATTGCATTTCTGTTGTAAATTCCATCAACTTTTGGTCGATTTTTTTAAAGAAAATGTCATAGAAATTATTTTACCAAAGAAAATATTAAAATTTCATCTTTCTGCACAACTATTTCCATTTTAAAAAATTCTACAGAAATTTCTACCCTATTTTTTTCTCTATTTATAAAAAAAATCAATCAAAAAAAACTTGGAAATTTGAACCGAGGAATTTCTGTAGAAAATATTTCAACGGAATAAATTGTGCGGAAAAATCAAATTCTATTAATTTTTTTTAATTGAATATTTTCCATTGAACAATTCTATGGACAAAAACATTAAAAGAAAGTTCAATAGAAATTCGATAGAATTTTCTGGCGAAGGTTTAGCTATGAAATTTTTTTCTTACGCGACCACAATTTGTTTTGAATTATTATTGAGGAGAGATTGAGAAAATGTTTACAGCACTGTTGAAACAAATATATTGGCTATCTTCGATATTTTAAAAGCAATTTAACAGTGACATGGTATTTTATTATTACAAGCCTTGAATAATTGATTGAGGGAGATTCAAGTGGAAGGGATTCTTTATTTTCTGAATTTAATGTTCTCCATACAAATTTATTCTGTTTTTTCTATAAATGCAGTAGTTGAAAGATATTTTCAAGATTATTTATCATTTTTTTTACTAAAAATCCATTTTTTATTTTTAATCTCATTTAGTCTTTCAGGCCTATAAATCATCAGAAATTGCGTTTGATCCACAAAACTTGAATCTCCTTGAACAGTGATAAATTCTAAATTTCAACTGTTACAAAGTCAATACGACACCCAATGAATTTATGATTCGACTATAGGGGACTGGGACCAAACTGTCGACCCAGTTTAATATTTAAAAAATGTTGAAGTACTGATTTTAATAAAAATTGATTATTAAAATAAGTAATAATGATTTTTTTTTCATCGATTTGTTGATTGATCTACATGATTTTTATTGGCTACGTCGTAAGAAAGCTAAACGTTATGTACAATCTTAGAAAGAGAAAAGATAAACCAGAAATTATTGAAATTGAATAGTTGGTAATTGTACAACGATAAATAATATTTTTGGTCGCTCGTGGAACTGATGATGTAATTGATAGTTATAACGATGCAGGGTCATGATACTGAGGAGGAAATCAACTGGGAAGCGTTACTCTAGTGTATATAAATATCATATCAATAAATTCTAAAGTCAGTTGCTTCCAGATCATTTCGATCCTTTAATTATTTAACTCGAATCTTAATCTGAAAATTACGTCTCCTTTATTTCGTAAATATCTCCGAAACTGTTGGGTTTAGAAAAAAATGTCACAAGACTTTTTTATAGAGAATTTCCTTCTCTACAAAAAGTGTCTTATGACATTTTCCCCTAAACCCCAGAATTTCAGAGATATTCACGAAATAAAGAAGACGTTATTTCCTTTCATCTCTTTTCAAACTTCATAATTGTTTTCTATCATGATCAATGAAATTCCAGGGTTTAAAAGGTCTTGATGGACACGATCAAGTCACTATGAATATATTCCTTCAAACAATTGATCATTTAGATTGAGGAAATAATCTGCTTTCAGATCATTTAGACTCTTCACGTATTTAACTCGAAACTTAATCTGAAAATTACGTCTCCTTTATTTTGCAAATATCTCCGAAACGGTTGGGTTTAGAAAAAAATATCACAAGACTTTTTCATACATAATTTCCTCCTCTACAAAAAGTGTCTTATGATATTTTCCCCTAAACCAAAAAATTTCAGAGATATTCACGAAATACAGAAGACGTTATTTCCTTTCATCTCTTTTCCCAACTTCATAATTGTTTTCTATCATAATCAATGAAATTCCAGGGTCTAAAATGACTTGATGTCACTATGAATGTATTCCTCCGAATAATTGATCATTTCAATTGTGTAAATGTCTGGGGGGTTTCGGCATCTTCACAGCCAGTGAACGCAAATCTAGGGTCTAAACCAGAAAGAGCCTTCGTAGAACCAGAAGTATTATTGCTGATACCAGAGAGGCTACTAGAATGGTCCAGAATAGATCGTTCGAGGAGGAGAGGGAGTTGCTGTTTGACGTACGCTGTACGAAATTACTGTGGGCCCGTTGTCTCTCGATTAATCTCTGCCTCAAGAGTTGATTGATGTTTACGCTTGGGGAGGGAGTTGCCGGGGTTGTGGTGGTCGTTGGCGCTTCCTCAGCCTTAAAAAAATTAATTAGATTTTTTTAACGAGTCAGTCATAATGAGATATTCCATAATTACGTAATAATTATTAAAATTGTTGTCAAAGTACAGTTTCAATGGAGTTTCAAGCAATTTTGTCAATGAAAATTCACAATTTCATGAGAAAAATCAATGGAATCTGTTAATTTCAGTTTAATTACTCCATTAAACTTAATAGAAATCAGAATGGTTCAGATTAATTATTCTTGAACTTTCAATCATGTGAAAATTCTGGATAATTTGGTACTAAATATTAATGTTTGATAGAGAATTCAACTAAATTGAGAATTGTCGTCTTTCTGTTGAGAGATGATCACATAATTACGTGATAACTATTGAAATTTTTTTTTGTTGCTAAAATTTTTGTAAACTGTAGTCAAGTTCCACTGAAATTTCAGGAAATTCACAATTTGATGAAAAAAATCAATGAAAACTCTTAATTTAAAACCAATTTCTTCCTGAAAATTAACAGAAATAATGATAATGCAGGAAATTAGTGCGCATTCAATAAAGACTGAGTTGAAAAAATACTTTAGCCATTGAAATGATGAAATTAAATTTACCTTCAGTGTTATCGACCCCAATATGTGTCCCTCCTCTGGAGTAATCGGTTTAGACTTTCCGTCCTTCGATAACAAGTCAACAATCTTCCCACAACTCTCGCACTGCCAACTCTGAGATCTATCAATCAATTTCATAAAATGTTTACTCATTCATTAATTTGTCCTGTCCATTTAGAGGCAAAAAAAAAATTTGCCTCACTTTTTCGCAAGTGTTTGTCTCTCCTCGGGGGTGTAATCAAGTGCTCCAATCGTATCATTGCCAGGTGTGGGCATGAATGCAATCAGAGCGAGTAGAGCTGTTCTGATACTCCAAGAAGGCTGCCACGTCTCGGGGTGGTGGCCAGATATGCTTAAGCAGATTTTTTTGTTTATCTCGAATCTTCCATTTGGCTGAACGAAAAAAATTAAAAATTAAAAATTAAAAATTAAATTAAAAATTAAATTAAAAATTAAATTAAAAATTAAATTAAAAATTAAAAATTAAAAATTAAAAATTAAATTAAAAATTGAAAATTAAAAATTGAAAATTAAAAATTAAAAATTAAAAAATTTCTGAGATTTTTTAAATCGTTTTTTGGTGAATGATGGGGGCTTTACCGTCAGTAGAATGATGTTGGGCGGCTTCATGGGATACTCAGGAGGCAGGAGAATTCTACCGTGATAGACACCCCCCTCGAACGGTGAAGACGGTGGTCCTCTCACCGTGAAATGCCATTCGAAGAGATTATCCTCGAGGGGAGCTGCGCAGTACTCTTCAGTAGCCTCATGCAGCTCCTGAGCCTCTCTCATCAGCCTCTTCACCGCTGACGATCACAATAAGCATGATTACACGCGAGAAAAAATCGGTGAAAACGCGAAGGAATTTAATGGAACATTCTAACCCAGAAAATCAGGGATTTTTGAGAAATCGAAACACTGATTGAATTGTCAAGGATGTGACTCTTCTGTGAAGTGATTTCTTCTGTAGAATATTCCCATTGGACAATTCTATTGAAAAAAAATTCGCAGCTAAAAAAAATTAAAAACTTGGGAAATTTGAGCCCAGGAATTTCTGCAGATAATATCTCAATGGAGTAAGTTGACCCGAGGTAAACTGAGACCTTTGATAAAGAATATGTGAATGTCTATCTGACCACGGGATCCCTGAACGCATCAAAAACAAAACCCTGGTTCGTCCACAATTCATTTCTTCACAAAGAATATCCCCCAACATTTTTTCTCAAATGGCTCGAATGATTTTCCAAAAAACTAGGAAACATCAATTTCAGGACGGGGGCCAGTTTCTGGACGATTTCTACATCCATTGAATATTCCATAAATAATAAAATGCAAATTGTACTGGTTATTTAATTTTTCAATAATATTTTTCGTGTGTAATCATTTATCAATTATTTTTTCAACTGCCCAACCATTAATAAATTAAAAAAATATGGGCGAGGCGTCCAGAAATTAGAGATTTCCCTTGCATTTAACTATTTCTTAATGTAATTAAGAAATTAACTCTTTGTTTTGTTATTTTGACTTCAAATAATTTTTTCTGCTAACTAAAACATTCTTTGAGGATACGGAAGCCATCATATTCCCATTTAGGTGATTCTTTAATTTTAGGTGCTACCACGAGACTCGAGTTTCCCTTCATCGTCCAGCAATTGGCCTGTTCACCCAAGGAGAACCACAGGAAAATGTGGAAGAATTTTTTCGTCCGAAATTTCTCTTTCTACAAAAAACGAATCTTCTGACATTTCCCATTGCCCAAATCCTTCACAATTCATTTGAGACACAAAAAAAGAGTGCAAAATCCTTGGACTTATGTCCCTCTACCACTCCCCAGTATAATCACTCGATCGAGCCCTGAATAACCCATCCAATAAACCAATTCACCTGGACTTTTAGTGTTGTACTTTCCCTCGAACGCCATTTCTCCTTAAAACTCCAGAGAATGAGGAAAACTCCTTGAAAATCGCCTTCTGGGGGCGGGGAAATTATTAAACAATTAGTATGCCACGTAAATCACTGCTTATCACCTCCAACAATGACTCAATGTCCCGAGGAATCACCCAACAATAATCGAAAACCGTAAATAAAGAGGATCGGACAGTTTTATTGTCAGAATAAAGCATGAAAAAATCCAAAGCTCAGTAAAGCTTATCAATGTCAAGTAATAATTGATAAAGACTCATAAATGATAACCTGAAATGTTGACTTCTTGTCACGTAAACACAATGCACTGAAGTTGTTCACTTTGGAATTCAGCACGTGACCCCAAAAAAAGAAATCGATGGGGGGGGGGTCGTTCGTATACTTACAACCCCCCCCCCCAGTTTGAATTTTGGTTCGAAGATAAAATATTTCATTAGAATTGACTATGATTACTCTGTTATAAATTCATCTACTAATAAAATTATATGAAAATCAATTTACGTTCAATAAATAAAAAAATTAGAAACAGAATAAAATAAAGCAAAAGAAGTAAAAAAAACAAAATTAATAAGAAGCCACTCCATATTTCGTTCTAGGGATAGATAAACCATCAGTGTCATAATTTTCTTTTCCCAAATGTTATCACTAAAGTATAGAATCGCAATTAATTTTTGTAATTTATTTTTCCCCTCTGTCGTAAGAATAAATAAACCATCAATGTTGCAAAATATCTTTATTAGTCATCCTCGCATCAAGCTTATCAAAAAATACAAATGTACATTGAAGCACCCACCTCTCTCCTAAAGAAAACCTAATGAACTGAATGAACGAAACTCCCCAGAAATCCTCTCAAACGCCAAAACTCTACTTCATCTCGAAGTACGGTCTATCCTTCTCCGCGAGTTCCAGCATCATCTCCGCAGTATCAGCCTCAGGGAACCTCTCCACCCACGACCGAATGAACCCTTCGAAACTCGCCTCATAGTTCCTCAACTTGACCTCCCCACCCTCGACAAAAGTATTCGCCTGCACGAAGATCTTCCTGGGCTGCTTGTGAGCCAGCACAATCTCCCTCCACCGTCCCCAGGGATGTTCCCCACCCTCAGGCACCTCAGAGTACTCCTCATACATCCTCTTCGCGCCATCAAAGTCCCCAGTGCTCTTGTAAACCTGCAGTTTCTGCAGAAACTTGCCAACAGCCTCCTTTCCCACAGTTCTAATCTTCTCCCTGTCCATCGTGAACCTCAGGTTCTTCCCCTCCTCGACCTCCTCGACCTTCACGAACCCCTCCCCAGCCTCCAGGCAGACCCTGAGGAGCACATACCTCGCCTGGGAATGGGCCTGCAGCCACTTCTTCTTCTCTGGGCTGTACATCTCAAGGGCCTTGGCACACCCATTCCACAGCAGCGCCAACCAATTAACGTAAATAACGTCGTCAGCTGTCTTCCCCTCGTGCCCAAAGATCCTGACGATGTCCTTCTCCAGGGACAGGTACAACCCCACAGCCTCAGCCCTGCACTCCTCGTACGAGGACCCCATGGCCCCAAACTTCGAGTCATAAGTCTCTCCCTCCAAGAAATACTTGTCAATCAACTCGTTCGTCAGAGGATTCTTCAGTGTCTTCTCGTCGAAGTTGAAGCCCTCCGAGGACTTCCTCAGCAGCTTGCCACTGCCATGCCCCAGGAGCTCGTGGAGCCCCACCTGCACCTCCATCGAGGAGATCCTGTGCTGATTCAGAAGAGCCCGATCCTCCTCAGACAAGAATGGAATGACGTCCTGCTTCATGTTCGCAGGGATTACGTTCCCGAGGGAGACGTTCTTGAAGCCCTCGCTCTGTCGTATCTCGTCGTAGTTGGGGATGTTGATCCCTGCTGGGATCCCAGACCCTGCGAACGTCAGGACGTCGAGGGACGTGAAGTCCGGGCGCAGGAAGACGTCTTTCTCGAAATCCTTGCCCCAGGGCAGCAGTGGGAGGAAGTCCTGGGCTTTCTCGACTAGGTTCGAGAACTTTTTAGACATTTCCTTGTTCACCATGGCTACGAAACCCTCGAACTCCCCTCGTTGACCTGCTGGGTCTCGATACGTCTCGATGAAGCCGATGTACGTTTCCACCACAGGACCTGTGCAGATTTTTAAGCGACTTTCTTCATTCAAAATATTCGTTTGGGTGTTATTGGGTGGAGTTAGAAAATAGTGGTCATCACATCATTTCCTTTTAATTTATAGTCTTGTTAGGGGGCCAATCTCGGGCCGACATTGGCCCAACCCTGGCCCGGCATTGGCCCTTTTTCTACAGAATATTTTCTAATCGGTCAAAAAATAACAGCAAGTTCAATAGAAATTGAATAAAATTGTGTAACGCATTCGCTAGGTTTTCTATGACATTTTTTCATTTTTTCAAAGTAAAAAATTTCAACGTTATGGAAATGTTGAATTTAATAAATCATTGAATTCAATTTAAAATACATCGCCTTCGAAATTCCATTCAAAAGCAAATTGCTAATTTATTATCGAAAATATATTCACTGTATTGTGACGAAATCAATTTCTCACTTGTTTTGCATTTGAAGCGAATAAAAAATGTCATAGTCTAACACTACAATTTTAGGATGTTTAGCCAGTGTCAGTAAATTTTCGGTAAATATGTTTGTTTTCATGGTCAAGGAAAATTCTGTAATTTTTTCGGCTGTCAGCAGAACGTGAAAAACCAACTTTTCTAACATTAAAAAAAATTAATCGCAGAAATTAGTCTCCGCAGAAATGAATAAACTAATTTTTCCTTATGCACGGGCTCTTCTGAAATTTATGTTCAAATTGATAATTCACCTACTAGAAGAGTCTAAAAATAGAAATAAAAATAGAAGGCAATGTGTAAAATCATACTGAATCCAATGGCCGGAGAAAAATCTGGGGTACCCGGGCAAAAAGAGGAAATATGTTAGCGCATGCATTTGCTGCATTTTTCTAAATAATGAACATGGATTGGCTCCAATTTTTGAGCTACGAATGATTTTTTTTTCAAAATTTTCGGAAAAATATGTGGAATAACAATTACGAGCTATTTTTTTTAAATTCACCTCTTACATGGCTACTTTGCTTTTTTTGTACTTTTTACTGTATTTTTTACAAAAAAATGGCTCGTAATTGTTGTTCCACACATTTTTCTCGAAATGTTGAAAAAAAAAATCTTTTGTAGTTCAAAAATTGGAGGCCCTGGACTGTTTTTAGCATTCTAGACGTTTTCGGGCAAACGAACAAAAAAAAATTTTTGCACTAATTACTCGTTTTCAATCTATATAATCGATCCTCAACGTATGAAAAGTCTCACTCCAATAACCCACGACTTTTAAAGTTCGTAGTAGTCTCCCCTTAATGCTGTTTTGAATGAATAGATTTAAAGTGAAATAGACCTTTGTCCTTTATCCAGAAGCGCGAGCCGTCCTTGTGATCGTTCAGGGATCCCGTTCTGAAGTGGCTGATGTATTTTTCGATCATCTGCTTCTCGGTGTCGTTGGCTGCGTGCTCCCTGGCCTTCTTGAGGCACTCGTTCGTCTTCTGGAGGAGCTTGCTGTAGTCCCCCCTCGACACCTTGAACTTGGCGTCCTTGAAGAGGCTCTCGGGGATCGTGAGGGCTGGGTCGTCGTCCTCCAGGTGGGAAGCGAGCTTTATGTTGTAGACGGTGAGGGAGTCCTCGGTCGTCTTGAAGCAACGCGTGTTGTAGCTCTCGAGGGAGTGGGCCTGCATGAACTCGTTGACCAGAGCTGCGTCTGCATCGTCGCAGTTCGCGGAGAAGTAGGTGGTCATCCCCTTGTCACCGAGACCCAGGGATTTCACCTTTTCGGAAAGGGAGTAGATGCCCTCGCTGCACTTGTTCCAGATCTTCTCGAGCACTGGGGGATTGTCCCTGTAGGCTTTGGAGGACTTGATTATCTCGAGGAACTTCTCTTTTGGGAGGTTTGGGACTATCTTCGAGTCACCGAAGGACTTGTAATTTCCCGCGTTCGAGAGGACGCCGCAGGTGTACACCAGGAAGGCCTGAAAGAGAATTCAAGTTGTAGATTTTTCTGGGGGAATATTTTTCGTCGTCTAAACATTATTCGGTTGACTATGGAATTCGTTCAATTGGTTAAACATATTTTTCGTCATCGAATACGCAGCGAATATATTATCTCCTCTGAAGATTTACATTTTGTCGTGATGAGTAGTAACATTGGTGAAATAACGTGATTACTTCATGTAAAACATGAATGGCATGTAAAAAATCATGTTAAAATTAATGTTTGCTACTAATAGGTTGTCCCTTAGTTAATTTTCTCTTAAATTATCATATTTATTTCAAGTATCAGCATAACTAATACGCTTTTCCATCTAGAAATACTTGGACAGAGTATAATTATAAAGATTATTGAATTAAGGAGTGCTAATTATCTCCTGAATTCCATAAAAAATCTCATCCATGGAATCTCATACTTTAAATGATACTTTTAATCAGTGAACAAGTTTCTTGACGCAAGTGAGATATCCATGGGAATGCGGAGATCCCCTTGAAGTATAAAATTCTATTAAATTCAGGAATATTCATTAAAGAAAGAATTTGATGCTCATTTTCTTCTGAAACTGCTTCAATTTTAATTTATTTGGGAATTACAACTCACAGTGAAATCATCCTCACTAACTCCAGCCTCGATAGCAGTCTTTTTCAGCTCCTCAATAGTCTCCCCAAGGAAAATCTTATGCAGAAGAGCGAAAATCAGGGGCGACTCGGGGGACGTCTGCACGAAGACGATCAGACCCCCCGTCCAGGCAGCTCTGCTCAGATAATGAGAATACAGCTTCTCGTTGTTCGTCAGTGCATTGAAGGCGCTGTCACACTCTAGTGTCACTATCGGCTGGGTATTGGGCAGTGTGTACAGGGAGATATTGTCACTCATCGTGCTGAATGATCTTGGAAACTGTCTGAAAAAAATAAATAACTCATTTCAACTCTGAATGAACAATTCCATTGAATTTATTCTTCGTGAAACAAAAAATTGAAAAACGAGCTTCATTATTCAATTCATTCATTAATTGATAAATTAATGGCTATTCAGACTATTAACATAATTGAGTATTGAGGAATTCTAGTGTCTCAGGGGACAGAACAATAATTGAATTCATTGGAAGTATCAATTCCTAATAAAACAAATTAAGTGGTCAATCCAAACGGAGTTTTGTCAATCAATCAGTTCGTTCAATGTTCCACCAACAAATTAATTGATGAATTACCCTCTGTTGGAGGCTATTAATATCATATAATCTGAGATCATCAAGAAAAAAGAAGTTAATACACCCCAAAGAGAGATAAAAATTGAAAATTTAATTCAGTTGATTCATTCACAGATAAATCAATTAAATAATTAGTCAATTAATTACTGATATTACATGTTCACATTGAGATTTTTAAGATAATGGAAAATCAGGTTATTTCATCATCCCAATGCACGAAACCATAATTCAATTAATTTTACACATGAATGGAAGATTCTATTGCATTCATTCTCAATTAAACAATAAATTAACTAATGGTCTACCCTTTCTTGAGACTGTTAACGCCATCAAATCTCACATAATCACGACTAAAAACTGTTGTTGTCTTTGGAATTGAAGACTTAACAAGTGAATAAAAACAATTTGACGTGCAGAATCTACAGGATTGCAGGAACAATCGACGACTGATGATTTTAATCATCTCAACGAATGAAACAATGATAAAACAACAGACAACGTGGTACACAGATATTGGTTATGAAGAAGAGCCTGACGTTTATGCACACCAAACAGACACAGAATTGTTTGAGGCTCTTGTACTCATCTAGCTCGACCAACTCGTGGGAAAAACTCAATTCTTGTGTTTCTATTTAGATCTCCACTTACCAATAATGCTGCAGGACCTCCACTAATTGATTTTTTTTGGGGAAAAGAATATTTATATGCCAAAAGACGCAGGAAATATGCTGACGTGTAATGGTTGATTCCAACGGATTGGGAGATTAGCGGAGGAAAACAGGATGAGGTTATGACCAACTGTGCATTTGTCGGCTTGCATATGTGTGTGTGTGTGTGTGTGTGTGATACATTCGCATGTGCATTCGATTTGAAGGAAATTGGAAAAAAAAATTCTCGAAATTCATAGGAAAAAATACAGAATTCTTTATTCTTAGTCTAACTTTTTACATTATTATTTAGCTCTTAAGAAAAATAAGAAAACATTGGTATTTAGTTTGAAATAGAAATAAATTAAACGATAAAACAATTATAATTATGATTAGTTGATTTTTTTAATTCATTTGTCAGTTATTTTTAATTAAATTCATTTTTTAATGAGTTATAGTGAGTGATGATGTAATGTATCGAATGAAGCAGATTTAATTATGAATAATGATTTTAATTAATACTGGAGTGGTGGAAGTTAATGGGATAAGTTCACTCTTCAGGTATTGTTATAGGTATAATTATCTTGGTAACTAGGGGCTTCAGGAGAAAGTGTCAGGAAATTTTATGTTAGAATTTAATCTTGAAAAAGGAAAATGTCTTGGCGTTTTCTCCTGAAATTTTCAATTTTCGAAGAAATGACAGGAGTAGAAAAAATGCAAACGTTTTATACTTTTTTCCAGCTTTTTAAATATTGGATTATTTCAAGATTGAGCCAATTTCAAAAATAATATTGAAATTATATTTTTCGTTAGAAATTTAATTTTCGTCAAAAACTATTTCCTAACATTTTTTCCTACAGTTGTTAGTTTCCAAGATAATTACTACTATAATTAAAACTTTTTAAATAGTGAATTATTTCGATAACAACGAATTCTTAATAGTTGAGGCATTTTTTGTCCGAACCAAATTTTCTGAAGAAATAGCTTCTCACATTTTTTTAATCTTAAAGTCAATTCTTTGCCAGATGTTTTCCAAACTATAAATATATCAAGATTTGCTGACTGCTGCGTCCCCCTAACAATTTAAATATCTCTTAAATAAGTAGTTTTACCAGAAAATGTCTTTACAATGTTTTCATTGAATCTTGAATTTTCCATGAATAACATCCCTCGAAATTCTCAAACCCCCTCCTCGCCAATAAATCCACAATTACCAAAACAAAATAAATGCAACCGTACGAACGACTCCCCACACTGTTAGAAAATAACTCTTGAAAATTCAAATAAAAAAACTTGAAATTTTTAACAACGCTAAATTTACATCAAATTTATCTCCACTTTGTTACTGAGAGATCAGGTAATTTCTTTGAATATTCCATGAAACTCCATACAACGAAAAAAACGGAAAAAAGCTTAAATTCAGGTAATTATTTTCCTGAATTGTCAATCTATTGAAAAATCACCTCAATCTACTGCCTTGTATTCATAATGAAAAAGTTAAGTATTAAATTTCACCATAAAAAATGAATTTTATTAAATTTTCATGACGATTCCACCTCAAATTGAATTAACGCCCCCACCATTGCGAAGTCAGTTGCAATCTTCACCATAAATTGAACAATTTCTAACAGTGCAGTCCCCCTCCCCGTCCCTCAACCCTTACTCCTTAACATCCCCAATGCCATCCGGCAGAATAGCGAACATAGCTTCACTCTCAGGTAAACAAGGCGAGTCATAAATCCTGCAAATCCTGGTTTCCCCCCTGCCCTTCCTGAGATAAAGCCTGGTGGTGCTGGCATGAGCCATGATATTCCCCCCAATGGGTTTCTTCTGGTCCCCCCCAAACATGCTGGCAGCCCCATCGACCTGGGCGACCACCTGATTGGTGATGACAACAGCCACCCCATGCTCATCAGCAATCCTCAGGAGCATCCTGAGGAACCTGGCCAGATGCATCTGCCTGGCAGACAGCTCTGCCCTCCCCGAGAAATCAGTTCTGTAAAGTGCCATGGCACTGTCGACAATCAGAAGAGCATAACGCGACTCTGTCATCATGGCACTGGCCTGAATGAGCAGTAGGCTCTGGTGATCTGTGTTGTAGGCACGAGCACACGCCACGTTGTCCAGGACATTTTCCGCAGGAATGTTGTACTTCTGAGCTATCGCACTCAGTCTCTCTGGCCTGAAGGTCCCCTCAGTGTCGATGTAGAGGCACTTGCCCTCAGCTCCGCCCATTTCAATTGGCAGCTGACAGTTGACAGCCAAACTGTGGACCAACTGGGTCTTTCCTGTTCGGAACTCACCGAAGATCTCGGTGATGGAGCCTGTCTCGATTCCACCACCGAGGAGACGATCCAGCTCGGTGGAGCCTGTGGAGATGTACACGATGTTCTGGCGGACTAGGTACAACTCTGTGGCACTCTTGAACCCCATGACCACCAGCTTCGAGGCCTCTTGCAGGAGCTTGTCGGCTTTGGCTTCGCTGATGCCTTTGATGGACAGGAGGGCCTTCTTTGGGGAGTAAGCCACTGATTCCACTGTGTAGTAGCCGGCTTCTTTCAACTTGGCGATGTCACCTGCGGTGATTCCATTGCCCTGGGGGTGGTAATGGGAGATTAAGCGAGTGGATTTTTATTTTTTTTAGTCATGGGTTTTTTTCTGACTGAGTTTTGTTTCCATATTTTCACATTATTTCCCTGACATTCCAAAGAAGTTCGTCATTGATAAATATTTTGCGGAGAAAGCAGTGGAATGTGGAGATTTCGAGTCATTATTCAATGGGAATTAATAGAAATGAGGAAATTCGGGTGAATATATTATTGAATTATTGATATTCATGTTTTGGTTGAAAATTTAAATCAATTGAGGCATTTCTCCTGTTAAAACTTTGGAATTTCATTGAATTTTAAGTGAAATCTGAAATTTCATGATTTTTTTTTCTCTAAATAGAATTTAATGTCAATCTCCTGAATATTGAATTTAGTTTAGAAACCCATCACCTGCTCCATTCTCCCCTCTCGCTCCCCAGCCCCGAAAAACCCCCCATGCAACCCAAAAACTCATCATTCTCAGAAAATACACCCAAATACCCCTCACTTCCAGTCACAAAATGAAAAATAAACCAAACAAAACCATGAAAAAGGTTATCCCGCCAAACCGGTCGTTTGTTCTCACCTCCAACGACGTGATGAGCTTCGCCTGGAGATGAGAGGCGTCAGCTGCATCATCCTCCAACGTGGCTGTGGCTGTCGTAGCTACCGCAGACATCCTCAAACACTCCTTCCCTTTTCCCATATTATTATGAACTAAACTCTTCCTCGAACCTTTTTCACTACACGTTCTTTCTCACGCCTAACGTTCTCGCAGCAAGTCTCGACGCGTTGTATTTTTTCAAAATGGAGTTGACAGTTGACTTTCAACAAAACTCCTTCTGCGCCTGCACCAAACTCTCCAGTGGCGCCACCTCCCCCTTCCCAGGGTCTCAAAATTCCAAACGCAATTCCACATCTAGAGAATTCCCCCTCCTCCGGCACTCGGGGGTTCATTTTTTTTATTCCGTCTTACCTGGTTTCACTCATGAACGAGCAATCACACGGAATAAAAAAATGAATTAGGTCACCGGTATTATCGAGTCTAACATTGCAAAGTCGGGAGAACAGTCGAGTGAAGCGTCCAAATTGTCCATTGTGATAAACAAATTGTGGGTGATTCATATGCAGAAATTTTTGACAAAGCGCAAAACATGGCTGAGAATTTGGGTAAACGACCGTCGAAGGGAATTTTGAAGACTTCGAGTAGTTTTGACAGCCACGAGGCACCCAGGTAAGCAATGTTTATTTATAAATTGAGGGGTCATTCGGGGTATCAGGCTGAAAAAATTGTTGAGGTTGGGTTATTTATAACGATGATTATGGGGAATAAAGAAATAATATGATGGCTTGAGGAACCAAAAACCCTCCATTATCCTCTTCTTCATCTCCAAATTTGCAGAAGATATTCCTGCATTCCCCGAAATTTCAATCACAAAAATAGCAGAAAAAAGATGGGATGAGTTTTGATTGGAGACTGGAAGATAAGATTCTTCATAAAATATTTATTATCATTCTTAGACTTCGAGATACTAATAAAAAGGAAGTACTCAAATGGATTGGACTCTAATCTCAATTTACTTCCTCTCAATTTACATATTATTTATGATTCATGAAAAAAGATATTATTCTGCAGAAGTTTTGCCTGAAGATGAGAAGGAAAAGCTCTTCATAAAAATTTAATTATCGTCCTTAGATTTTGAGATATTCCTAGCAAAAGAGCGCCAAAATGGAATTGACACGTCCCATTTGCTTTGATTTTATGATTTTTGATGGGGAAATATTATTGTTTATCTAGCTCGCGCTAGATAAACAAGAAGATTTCCTCAACGACGTAGACATGATTAATAACAACAAATGATCCCCTAGCAGCAATCTAAAATGACCTTGAGAAACCCCTCAATTGCTCCAGTATCCCCAAACTCCAAAAAACGCAATATTAACACCAAAAATTTATAATTACCACAAAATATGCCTGAAACCCCCTAAATTTCCATCACAAAAATAGTTTTAAAAAATGGGATGAGTTTTGATTGGAGATTGGGAGATAAGATTCTTCATAAAATATTTATTATCATTCTTAGACTTCGAGATATTAATAAAAAGGAAGTACTCAAATGGATTGGACTCTAATCTCAATTTACTTCCTCTCAATTTACATATTAATTATGATTCATGAAAAAAGATATTATTCTGCAGAAGTTTTGCCTGAAGATGAGAAGGAAAAGCTCTTCATAAAAATTTAATTATCGTCCTTAGATTTTGAGATATTCATAGCAAAAGAGCGCCAAAATGGAATTGACACGTCCCATTTGCTTTGATTTTATGATTTTTGATGGGGAAATATTATTGTTTATCTAGCTCGAGCTAGATAAACAAGAAGATTTCCTCAACGACTTGGGCATGATTAATAACAACAAATGATCCCCTAGCAGCATTCTAAAATGACCTTGAGAAACCCCTCAATTGCTCCAGTATCCCCAAACTCTAAAAAACGTAATATTAACACCAAAAATTTATAATTACCACAAAATATGCCTGAAACCCCCTAAATTTCCATCACAAAAATAGTTTAAAAAAATGGGATGAGTTTTGATTGGAGATTGGGAGATAAGATTCTTCATAAAATATTTATTATCATTCTTAGACTTCGAGATACTAATAAAAAGGAAGTACTCAAATGGATTGGACTCTAATCTCAATTTACTTCCTCTCAATTTACATATTATTTATGATTCATGAAAAAAGATATTATTCTGCAGAAGTTTTGCCTGAAGATGAGAAGGAAAAGCTCTTCATAAAAATTTAATTATCGTCCTTAGATTTTGAGATATTCCTAGCAAAAGAGCGCCAAAATGGAATTGACACGTCCCATTTGCTTTGATTTTATGATTTTTGATGGGGAAATATTATTGTTTATCTAGCTCGAGCTAGATAAACAAGAAGATTTCCTCAACGACTTGGGCATGATTAATAACAACAAATGATCCCCTAGCAGCATTCTAAAATGACCTTGAGAAACCCCTCAATTGCTCCAGTATCCCCAAACTCTAAAAAACGTAATATTAACACCAAAAATTTATAATTACCACAAAATATGTCTGAAACCCCCTAAATTTCAATCACAAAAATAGCAAAAAAAGATGGGATGAGTTTTGATTGGAGATTAGAAGAGAAGATTCTTCATAAAAATTCACAAAAATATTTTCTCAACGACTTCAACATTATTAATAACAACAAATGGTCCCCTAGCAGCAAAAAACACAACATTAACACAAAAAATTTATCATTACCACAAAATATGCCTGAAACCCCCTAAATTTCCATCACAAAAATAGTAAAAAAAATGGGATGAGTTTTGATTGGAGATTAGAAGAGAAGATTCTTCATAAAAATTTTATTATCATTCTTAGACTTCGAGATATTAATAAAAAGCAAGTGTCCAAATGGATTGGATTCATCTCAATTGCCTCGATTTCATAATTTTCGAGCTAAATAAACAAGAATATTTCCTCAACGTCTTGAACACTATTAATAACAACAAATAATCTCCTGGAAACATTTTAAAATAATTTTGAGGAATCCAAACTCCCATCACCTGCTGCAGTATCCCCCTCTCGTTCCCCAAACCTCAAAAAATTCAACATTAACACCAAAAGTTCATTATTCCCATAAAATATTCCTGAATTCCCCTAAATTTTAATCACAGAATGGTTATTCGTGTTCTCAGGCTAAAAAAATTGATGAAAAACATTTTACGAATTCTTATTGGATCATTTATAACAACGATTATGGTTATTTCCGTAAAATATTCATGAATTCCCCTGAATTCTAATCACAAAATAGTCATTCGTGTTCTCAGACTGAAAAATTGTTGAAAAAAACCTAACATTCAAATAAAAAATTGATCATTCTCATAAAATATTCTTGAACTCCCCAAAATTTTGATCACAAAAGCGCTCATTCGTGTTTTCAGGCTGTAAAAATGATTGAAAATTGTTGAGACTTTATTTTTCGTTGTCAGACCTAATAAAGAAACAAAATGGGATGAGATGAATATAATTGCAACACTACATCCAGCGGATAAGGATTATGGCCACATGAAGATTGAAGAGCCCAAAACTCCGTATAATTACGAGGGTTTTGATAATAAACACGAGGATGATGAACTGGACTCTTCGGTTATCACTGACAAGTGAGTGGCCCCTGGCTATTTTTACTTGCTTTTTATTTTTATCTCCAGTTTTTGGGGGTTTCGGGGATTTTAATGGTTTTTAAATATGAATTTCAGACTTGCCAAGAGCAGCAAACCGAAGATATTCGAGGAATTGAGTGACGAGGAGGATGAGGAGACTCCAGAGGAACGAGGTAACATTCCATCTTCGTGATTGCGTTCTATTATTAATCCGCGAGTGGGAAATTAAGTCGGAAAACGAAGGGGTGGGGGCAGAAATACAGAGAGACTTTTCAGGTTGAGCGTTTTAGGTTCTGTTTAAAAGGTTCTCCTGGGTGTAATGATTTTTGTTTTTTTGAAAATCGATAGCTTCGGAGGTGATTAAGGAATTTGTAGAGGTGAGGAACGATATTTATTTCATTTTCCCCTTTTTAGGCGTTATGAATATTTAATTAGCTTCATAATGACTGGTTTTGAGGAACTTGTCATGGTATTTTTGGCCGGAAATTTCAATTTTAAGAAACGGGCTTCTAATATTTTTTTTGTGAAGTCAACAGTTTTTGAGGCAATTGAAAAATAAACGAAAATAAAAAATTTGAGTTATTGCATGTCTTAAAGTGATTTTTATTCTGTTAAATTTTGAAATCTCCCAATAATGAGTTTTTTCAGAGAAAAATTGCAGGAGACATTTTTTGTTAGGTTTTTAATTCTCTAAAAAATCCGTGACATTTTCTTCCAATTTCCAGAGATAAATCCACAAATGAAAAATATTTATTATCAAAATTCCTTGTAAATTCCATCAATACTATCTCAGAATTCTGTTTTTTTTTTCATGTTCCAATTCGCGTATTTTTTAATTAACCCGCGCCTATTATCATCACAAATGGGGGGAATTTTACTTTCCATGAATAAAAAGTTATCCCATTTCGTTAACAATTCAATGAGTCATTAGTATTTCAAGAAAAACTCGAAATTGTCCATTTTCAGATTTTCAATCCTCGAGTTTTTCAATTCTTCTAAACTTAATCTTTCGATTTTTTAAGCTTTCAATCATTTCACGATTTAAAAAAAAAAGAACTTTCTCTTGTTCAGATTTTTAAAATGTTTTCAGAAGATTCAAACTGAGGATTAAATTCAATACAGAAGGCCATTCCTTCACTTTGAATCTCCTAAAAACATTCTAAAAATCTGAAAAAACAAAATTCTATTTCAAAACAAAAATAAAACTCACGAAATGATTGAAAACTGGAAAAATCGAACAATTGAATGTAGAAAACTGGAAAAACTCGAGGATTGAAAACGTAAAAATGCACTTGGCAACCCTCCAACCCCATTTCATCGTTTAATCTTCTTCACCATCAATTCCCCAGAGAAACGAAAAGCATTCGAGGCAAAGCGAAGGGGTCACTACAGGGAATGGGAGGCAGTGCAGCTGGCCCGAAAGAAACTCCTCGAGGAGGACGAAGACGAGGACGACGAGGGTGAGCCCGACGAGAGCCAGCCCCAAGACGACGATAACGACGACAGCAACCCTAGTGGCACCCCCCAGAACACAAAGTGTGTGTCCCCCTGTGATAGTGAAACACAGTCAGAGTTAAATACCCCTGAATAGACCTCCCAGTTCTGCCAAACTCCCAATAATGCATTCAATTTACTTTGATTCTTCAGCATAACAAGAAATGCAGGTGTAATGCGTAAAGAAATAGCTGATAGTGACGTAATTAACTGAAAGTGGACGCTTCCATTCGATAAATATCTTCCATTAAAACTTGATGCTCGATTTATTAGGGGGCAAGTTGTATAATGCAACGAAATTAGACTGAGACATTTTAAATTGTGAAGAATGTTTCTCTTGATGAAATCGACAACTAAATTAACGCAAATCTATTTGTAATAACGATTGATTAGTTAGCTGGTACGATCATTATTTATATTTAGATTTTTTTTCTCATGTGAATGTTCATTTGAGTTCATGGGCTTTTATTTTCATTTTTGCAGGACTATTGTCGAGTAAATACGTAAATGAATATATTGTATACGTAATGTACCTAGATTTAGGTGAAATCATTGTGAAGAAGTTATTAACAGAACAGAGCAGATTAAAACGACTAGATACTGACGATAGAGTAAATTAGGACTAATAGATAACGATGATAATTTTATAATAAATTATTATGAAATTGTTAGATCGGGATAAGGTATTTTTTGGAGTTTGAGGGAGTAGATTATTACCACATTCGATATTTCGTATGCACTGTAGGGTAATTGTATGTGATAAAATGTGAGGAATTAAGGATTACTGGTAGATTGTTCATTAATTTTTTGTGGAACAGGGAGTAGCACGTGATTAATTATAGTTAAATGCTTATCGATATTTTGAGAGAGGATATTTTTTGTCATCTGTCGGTTGTTGGCTAGTTGGAGATGCTGATTTGCGATGTCTGTGTAATAGAGTCAATAGGTAGAGGCGGATTGGTAGGTGGGAATTAGTGACCTGTTGTACAGTTTGTGTCAAATTTATTGAGGATCATTGCTTTGTTGATTTTGTGGGGATTATTCTGGTGTGAAGTGGGAAATGTGACTACTCGATTTTTTTTCAATGTTAAAATATTCGATTTATCTTGATTTTTTCTTGATGAGTCATTTGAGGGAAAAATAGGTGTGAACTTCTTTTGTTGGAAATTTCATTCTTGAAAAGATTGCTTTTGGATACTTTTTTCATGGTCAACAGTTGAGGGGAGATTTATAAGGAAAAAACAAATTTTTTAATAAAAAAAATGCTGTAGCACAAAAATTTCGGACACTGGATTAATTGAACGATAAACAATTTTGTTGGCACTCATTCTTTTTTGTAGATAAATAACTGATCACTCACTCCAAAACTCTGTCTCCCCAGACATTAGGGGTAACGAGAAAGAAAGAAATTCAAAAAGCAAAAAACAAATTATTCATCATTGATAATTTTTTTCAGGAATTCTAACTGATGAGTGTAAGAAATTAATCCATCAATTATTGTTTTAAACAATAATTTCTCGTTTAACTAGGGTGAAACAAATTATTTATTACAAAAATTTGACACTGACTATTATTTTCATATTGAGCACAGAATTTTTATTCATTTTTTCTGATTTTCATCTTTTTTCCAACTCCAGAAAGTTAATTTTCTCATAAGACTCTGTTATTTTTGCACTTCTCGGTCAATTATTACTAATAATACCAATAATTCTTAATAATTAATTAATAATTATTAATTAATTATTAATCAGTACATTAATTATGACCAATAATTAATAATCACAATTTCTAGATTTAAATCTTGAAAATTGAAGTTGTGTTTACACTATTTCGCCAAAAATTCCCCATTTCACAACTGAATTCTTCACGACAAATCATCTCAGACTAGTTAACATGTAATATTCGCGAGAATAATGAACAACAGGCCCCAATATTAAGCATAAATAATGCCAGTTTTGTACTCGACGATTAGTAACTAGAATCATCATAAAAAATCAAACAAATGTACATAGAGATGACGATTATTGGATTATCCAACAGGATGGACTCCACTTCAACTAGAAAAGGAACATCGAGGTCTGGCTGTTGCTCGGCGTGTGGAGCATTCTCGTCGTATCGCAAATCAAACAAATGAGAGATAAATCGTCCAAACGAATGCAAGAATCATCCAGATGTTTTAAATTAAAAAATCATGTAAATGCAACGTGTAATATCATATTGATAGTGTTACATCGCCGTCCTTGAAGCTAGAATTCAACTAGGAAAATTCATTGTCACCAGTTGACTGGCCTATAGACTGTCCAGTGCCGATAAAATTTTACTTTCGAGCAACAGACTGTGTTTACTTGCACGTGATTTTTTTAGACGATTACAGACGTAAATTAGAGAACATGGGTGTGGCCATTCGTAAGTTAATGTAAAGGCATGATTGCATGATTCATTTGTAATGATGGTTGATTAATTAACGATTATGTGAAACTGTGACACGATAGATTGTTCAATATTGTATAATGAAAAGTGATCAAAATATATATTTAACACGAAAATAAAAATTGTTGGGTAGACGCGAATGTTTTGGAGTTTTTGTTTTTTAGGGGGGAGGGGGGGGGGGGGGAATATTATAAGGAGACGAAATCATGAGAAGATTTTTTATTTGTTGATTTTTCTATGAAATTGCAATGAGAATGGGAAAGTTTAAGGATTTTAAAAAACGCAGAAAGGAATATTTCCGACATTTTTAATGAAAAAATTATTGAAATGGTTCATTTCTGTAGTGAATTGGTAAACTAGGATAAGTGCATTTCAACTGAGGACAATTATCAAGCGATATCTCGTAAATAAAAACAGATATCGAAATTTTTGTCAGAACCTTTTTTGTAGCCCACATCTCCCTCTACAAAAAAGGTTCGAATAAAAATTTCGATATCTGTTTTTATTTACGAGATATCGCTTGATAACTGTCCTCAGTTGAAATGCACTTATCCTAGTTTACCAATTCACTACAGATTTTGATTATGAGCGGCCCAATACATGAGAAATTCTTCAATTTTATTGTTTTGTTTATTTGGGAGGAGATAGTGACGTCATTTGAAGGTCATTAGAGTAGTTTGAATTCATAATTTTTCAAAGACTTTTTTAAATAAACAGAACCGATTGGTAAATTTCACCTGAAATTTAGACTTGAGGATACCCAAGTAGCTTTTACTTTTACTTTTACTTTTAATTCCACCACTTTCAATCATTAAATTTGTCAATTAAATTGCGTGAGAATGATTATTTTTTAAATATTCATTGTTTATAAATAAATAATTGAATTTTATAAAGTTTCGGAAACCTAATTTTTTTAGGCATGAAATCGATTTCTGGTAAAATTCTGAATATGAATAAATTTGTTGTGATTTCCAATCAATCATTTTGATGGTAGAAAATTGATTGTTTATTTCATTGCATTAAATTGAATAAGATTTCTTTTTGACGTTATCATCATCATTATTCTTATTATCCCTTTCCTCTGTACAACCGATTGTTTTTTTTACGGTTCTATCTCTCCCCTCAGCCCTTCGATAAAATGTTGATAGAAAAATTCTATTTATACATTTTTGAATGAATTTGAAACATCACATTTGAAGAAACCATGGGAAAGCTCACTTTCAGGGAAATTCATGAAAAATTCGAAATTTTCAACAATCATAAAAATCAAATCAACCAATATAGCTATCGTAATCATTTTTTAACTTCGACTTAATGGCATCAAAACAAACACTTTAAGCTATGATTGAATTCATTTGAAGCATGCTATTCAAAGATATCCCCGGAATACTGATTTTCAAAAAATACAAATTTTTTGTAAATTTTCAAATAAATCAAAATAACGATTATTGCTATCGCCATCATCTTCGAACTCGGTCAAAAGGACAACCAAACAAATTTTTTAAGCCATCATTCAATCAATTCAGAACATTTTTTTAGTTATCATGGGACAACCGATTTTCGAAAAAATTCGAAAATTAAAAAAACTAATCGATGAATTAAATTTTAATTAATGGCGATTGATAGCGCTCAGCAATAACTACATGAAAAAAAACTTTGTTACATTACGAAGCATCCATTCATAAGCAAAAAATTGCCAAAGTACTTGAATAATCTCAATTCGACATAAATTATCGAACTAAAGAATAATAAAAATCCTATTCAATACTGAAACAAAAAGCCGACTTCAATTGAAAACATCGCCCCGCAATCAATCCACCCGAAATAATTGATAATCACGGCTAAATCGTTCAATCATATCCGTCAGTACTGTTGAGTCATGAACACCTGTTTCTTCATATCCATTTCATTATCTCAATCTGTCACCGGTTATCTCCAGCCCCAGGAAAGCGCCTAGTTATCGATCTGTCGACGCTTACGTGAATATAAGGCAAAATATATTTTATCACGACAGATTATATGCGTCTGAATTTGCGCTAATCATTTTTGCCGGAGCACTGACCAATACCCAGTGCAGCAGTGGCAGATAAGCCGGCAACCACTGGAGGAGTCATCGAGAGCTCGCGGGGATTGTAGTTGGCTGTTAACACGCAGGTGATAAGCAAGTCATATTTTCAGTGGGAACCAAGTGTCTAGTGAATGATAAAGAATTCAATACTCGGAATAACAACTGCCTTGGGAGAACATTCATCGGTCATTGGAGACGATTAATTACGCAGAATTCAGAATTTAATGGTAATTTTCCTGTCATGATTCTCGTAATGAGCAGTTCACTGATATCTGTTGAGAATTTACGTTAACGCGAACGTTTTCTGTGAGAAAAAATCGTGAGTTCGTTTTTACGGAAAATAATTATCAAGTTAACGAATGGTTAACGCGTGATTTCAGTGGAAAAACAGATTTACAGAGAAGTTTTGTTGGTGAAATCGGCAAAATTCGATGCATTGAGAGGGGGAAATGACACGGTTTGAGGAAGTGCTAGGTGACAGGAATACCAAAGTGTCCGATGGCTACAATTCCCCGTTCGGTTGACGTCATTAGCTGTCATTACTCCAATTGGAAGCGGGATTATTACTGAATTGAAGCCGACGTGGCTCAATCGCCGATAATGATTCTGTTTCTCTTCATTTTCAGTTTCTCTTCTATTCTTTGATTGAATGGGAAATTATTGGGAGGGCGATCTGCTATCGATGTGGCTATTGCGTAATCATTAGGCTTTGGAGTACGTACACAGGGAATTGATGACTTCAAGGTCACGGTCGATTTTTGTATTTATGGGGATATTTAGGTTGTTTCGATCGTAGATTTGGATAGGATGAATGAAAGATTCTTTGGGAAATTGAACTGTGGAGGCGATTTTTATTTTTAATTTTGAGGTCTAGATGGAAAGAAAATTTGGGGTACTCATGTGAGTTCGATATTTGAGTGAAATACGGAGGATTATTATTTGGGAATAAAGATTTAATTACAATTTGATGGTTTAAAAATTGCAGTTTTTGAAGATTTTTTTTTGGTTCCGAACGGAAGCTTTGTGAGTGTTCAAATTTAAGTTTTTCTTCAATTGTTCGTTAATGAATGGATGGAATTGAATCTTTTTTTCGAATGTAGATATTAATTAAATCGCCATTAATTAAAATTTAATTCATCAATTAGTTTTTTTAATTTTATATTTTTTTCGAAAATCGGTTGTCACACGATAACTAAAAAAAAATGTTCTGAATTGATTGAATGATGGCTTAAAAAATTTGTTTGGATGTCCTTTTGACCGAGTTCGAAGATGGAGGCGATAGCAATAATCGTTATTTGGATTTATTTGAAAATTTGCAAAAATTTTGTATTTTTTGAAAATCAGAATTCCGGGGATTTCTTTGAATATCATGCTTCAAATGAATTCAATCATAGCTAAAATGTTTGTTTTAATGCCATTAAGTCAAAGTTAAAAGATGATTACGATAGCGATATTGGTTGATTTGATTTTTATGATGATTGTTGAAAATTTCGAATTTTTCATGAATTTCCCTGAAAGTGAGCTTTCTGATGGTTTCTTCAAGTGTGATGTTTCAAATTCATTCGAGGATGTGTAAATAAAATTTTTCTATCAACGTTTTATGGAAGGGATGAAGGGAGAGATAGAACCGTAAAAAGACAATCGGTTGTATAGAAGAAAGGGATAATAAGAATAATGATGATGATAACATTTAGCTAAGTTGAAAATTTGAGAACATTAATTGAAAAGAAATCTTATTCAATTTAATAGAATGAAATAAACAATGAATTTTACATGAATTATACATTGTTCATTTACAAGAAGAGAATGTTTAAAAATGCGGAATTGAATGGAATTATTGAAAAAATGATGACGTTTCATAAAAAATTATCAGTGAGATAATCGTTATCGCTGAGAATATCAATTACTTTGTTGTGAATCCCCTCTTCAGATCAGGAATTTAATTTTAAAATGGAGAAAATTTAAGAAATATTAAGAAATATTTTAAATTTAAGAAAATTTACTCAGTTGAATATTTATAAGTAAATTAAAAAATCACCATTCACCGATGAAATTTAAGTTGAAATTCGAAGATTTATAACATATTTCAATTTTTCATTTCTCCTGATTTTTGCAATAATTGAAAAATTGCAATTTTTCAAAATTACGACTGTTTATCAACATTAGTTTACAAACAATAATTTTTCTCCACTGAAAATTATTCTTTGAAATCGTAAAAAATTCCCTCGTATTGAGAATTTTTTCAAAAATCTAATCACAAGTAATTTCCCTTATTATTCACAACCAGAATATGCTTAAAAAATATGGACTTAACAAAATAAATCATTGATCACTGAGACTATAAATTACCGTGTCGGGAATTGAGCGGGAGTTGAGCAGATCCACTGAATAATCCCGCAATAATTTATCATCACGTCTAATAAACTTCACGATCACCCGTTAATTTTTTTCTTCGCCAATCGATTTCACCACCCTCAGCCACCACCACAACGTCAATTCCATATAAATTCATCGCATATAAATTCCAAATCCGTGAAATTGAATTGCATGTACTCCGCGAAGAATCATCCGGCGTGCATTGAATTCTCCGAAATGTGAATATTTACAGTACTGAAGATCTGTACGATGAGCATCAGAGCACTGCCCGCGGAGTTGAAAAAAGTAGCGAAGAAGGAGCTCAAGGAGGATGAGAAGCGCATTGTTGAGCACGTGAAATATATCACGGAGTGGCTGGAGAAGCAGCCGCATATTAATGCGAGGACGGATCCTCAGTGGCTTGTGGCTTTCCTCCGGGGGTGCAAGTACAGTTTGGAGAGGACCAAGGAGAAGCTGGACTCGTTTTATACTGTCAGGACGCATCTGCCGGAGATATTTTTGAAGAGGGATCTAGAGGAGACGATGATCCAGGAGGTTCTCGATTTGGGGTGGGTATACGAAGGGAAATTCTTCAAAAAATTCTGGAGCGTTAGAATTTTTAAAAAAGCATGGACAATATCCCGAACGAATGAAGAAAGTAGGGCGGTTTTTATGAGTGCAAAAGAGAATTGAATACCATTCTATGAAACATGAATAAACGAATCATAATTGTCCAAATAATTCACGTCAGAGGAAAATAGAATAATTTTACTTTCTTAATATTGCGTTTACTAAGGTTTTCTTCGAACAAAATTGATTAGAATTAATAGCTAGAATTATGAGATTATCTCACATTTTTGACGTTAAGAATAGGAGAATCTGAATGCAATATAGTGAAAATGATGATCGATTTTTTCACTTTGAACAAATGATATTAATATCCAAATACAAAATTTCTGATATGAATAGAAAGAAGCTGTGACTCAATATTCCAAATGAATTTTTAATTTGGTGCTGAGAACACGAGATGACAATATTCTAAGCACGGAATTATATTGATGAGATGAACAACAGATTGATTTAATTACCGTGTGAACTAACTAAAAATTGATAACAGTGTCGGCACGCACTTTTAGCAGAGTATCAACAAACATTGAATTCCAGAAATTCACAGTCTAAAGTGTGTTCTAGAAGAAGTTGAATTGTAATTATGATTAAAATCTTATTCAGTGAGCATAGGAATGAGAACAATGAGACTCGCTTTCCGTTTAGGGAAAATAATTATTTCACGTCCGTTAATTGAAGTCAATCAACCCGAAAAAAACTGATATAAAGTATCGATGCAATTATCGAAATTCAGTCTAATTAATCTTCTGTATTATCAGTTTTTATGACACTCAATCGGTCAGTGCGGGTTTAAGGGTCAAGGAGAGATGAGTTCAACTACCTTTTGAGAGAATTTACCAATTATGTTGACCATTTTTTTACCTCAGAAATTGGTGGTTATAGAAAAAAAATATCAGGAGAAAATTTTTAAATCAATTGTACTATTTTTCAAATGAATACAAAAATTGTCAATCTTTTTCGTGGATAATAATTCTCGAGAATAATTTGAATAGATATGAATAATGATTTGAGTAATTCGGCAGCAGAAAAATTGGAAAATTCATGTCCAAGATTTCTTAGAAAAAACATTCCAATAGAGTAAATTGCATAGAAAAAACAATGTCTAAATGAACATTTTCTTCTTCAAATGAATATCCATTTAAAAATTCCCTGTAGAGTTACATAATTTTTAGTAAAATAAACGTAAAAAAACAAAAAGAGTTCTTCAATGATATTCTTAGAGAAATGGAATTGTTGTAGTCCGAATAGAAATTCGGTACAATTTCTTGGAGAAAGCGATGGATTTTCCTGTTAAATTTTTATTTATTTAATAATTATGATTTCAAGAATTTATTTGCCACTGCCCGAGCCCGTAAGCGCGGATGGACCCCGTGTGATTCTGATGCGACCGTGTCAGTTCGACGCCAAAAAATACACATACTCCGACATCCTCAAGGTTTCCTTCATGATCATGGATTTTCTACTCCTCAAGGACGATCGGTAGGTCAACAATTTCCTCATGACGTCAAGAATTACATTCCCCCAAGTACGTTACTCATGAAGTGCCCATTGGGTTAATGCAGAAAAAAATGAAATAATGCATGCAATGCCCTTGGTGGAATGCAAGGCTCAATGTTGCAGGTCAGATTAGCGTTCTAGATCTAACTGGGAGTAAGCTCGAGCACGCGAGCCAGTTCACACCGTCACTGGTGAAGAAAACTGTGATGGCCTTTCAGGTGAAAATCAACGTGAATTAAGGATATCCAAGTACTTTGGCTATTTTTTCTCCGGTGAAATGCTTTTCTACTTTCATAGTCGAACATGAGACCTTTCATTTGAGTTTCCGGGCATTTTACAATGATTTTATTATTTAAACTTTACCGGTTTAAATTTGAATCTCGATATTAAAGTAGCTCTATCCTTCGGCCGGGCTACGCTTTTGGATATTTTCAGTTTTTCAATTTTTCAACTCAATTGCATGGAAAAAATTTGAAAAAATTCATACCCAGTCAGTATTATCTAAATTAAATTTCGCAGAATATTGATATTTTTTCAAACATTTCCCTCTTATAAATAAATAATAAAACTTGTTTGCAAAACGGTGGATTATTTTTTATGAGGTGTCAAAAAAATTCTTGATTTTTTCACATCTAATGAAAAAAAATCAGATTTAATCTTTGATTGCAATGGAAATGTTGATTTTCACATAAGACACTGGGTTAAAACCAAAACGATAATTAAATTGAGAAAAAAATTAGAATTCCGAATCTAATCGAGTTTTCTGCAATTTTTTTGCAGTTTTCAATAATCTTTGAATTTACCGTAAGGGTAGAGCTACTTTAAACCGTTAGAAAACATTTTTTAATTCTGATAAAACATTAGAAAGTTTACTTTTTGAGGGAGATTCATAAAATGATTGAAAAATTGCAATTTAAAATAAATTACGAGCATTTTCTGTGAATAATTTATAAACAAGCAATTTTCCACCCTAAAATTAGTTCGAAATCGTAACAAAGTTATTCATTTTCAGAACTTTACCAGAAAAATCGATTTCATGCCTAAAAAATAAGTTTTCCGAAAGTTAAACAGTTTCAATTATTTATTTCTAAACAATGAAAGTTAAAAAAATCTCAATTCAGTGCAAATTTTTCGCACTCAATTTAATTGACAAATTTCATGATTGAAAATAGTTGAATCTAAAGTGTGATCTGTGCCAAACTGTAAAAGCTTCTTGGATATCCTTAATCTGTAAAAAGAATAATGAATGCACAGATTAATCTTTTTTAATATTTTTGTCTCAGGATGGCTATCCGATGAAAACAAAGAGTTTGCATTTTGTCAATCCTCCACCGACGTTCGATGTACTCTTCTCTGTATTCAAAAATTTCATGAACAAAAAATTGAAGGATAGGGTAATTGAATTTTTCTATTTTTTAATTTCAAGATTGATGGCGAGATGCACGTAATGAGTGTTTATTTTTATAGATAATGGTTCACAAGGACCCAGAAGATGTTTTCGACTACATTCCGAGGGAGGTTTTACCATCGGATTACGGTGGCCAGGCTCCGTCGATAGCCGCTTTAACGCGTAAGTCAAAAGATCAACAGAGATCAAAAGGGAAATGTTCAGTAAAAATTACGGAACTCAATTCGCTCACCGATTACGGAATCGACTCAGAAAATTTAACTGACGGTATCGTAATGTTTCACAAGAGATTCAGATAAAAATTACGGAACGCCCTGTGAAAAATTCCGTGACAGTTCCGTAAACTTTACGATACGTAATTTTTTGTCATTCCGGCCGTGAGGCAGCGCTTCACGGACGCTCCGCTCCTCTCTGCCTACGGCCGTCATAACAAAAAATACTGTTCGTCATACGGCCAAAAAAAACTTTTCTAGCTCATATGATTGCGAACTCATATTCGCCAGAAAAGTTTTTTTCGGCCTAGTGACGAAATATACTAAAAAAAAATTTTTTTCTTCTCGTATACCCTTTCGGGTCTTTACGATTTGTTCCCTTCCCACCCCCTCCACCCCCTGTACCGCATTTGCCGAAGGGAGGGAAAACCTCATTCGAGGGAAAAACCTGCCCTGGTACAGTCGTCCTTTTGACGGGACTACCGCTCGGCAGTGAAACTGTGAAATTAGAGCGCTATAAATTTTGACCGCCGGTGCCGGGAAGCGAACCCGGATCATTGGCATACGAGTCTAGCACTCTAACCGCACGGCCACTACCGTCGACGAAATATACTATTTATTGAATATTTATCTCCGTGCAACCGCCACTTGATTCCAGACCAATGGAAGAACGCAGTTCTCGAGCACCGCGACTGGTACCAAGAGGACTCAAAGCACCGCGTAGACGAGTCAAAACGCCCAGACAAGGCGATAACATCCCTCGACCTCTTCGGCATGGAAGGCAGCTTCAAGAAGCTGGAATTCGATTAAACTTCAAATTACCATTCCCATCGAAACAACTCACGATCACCCACCCCTCCCTCCATCATTCACACGCGCAAAGTACATCATACTGCCAACAAACATGTGTCGCAGTCAAAACTCGTCGTTGATCTCGTCAACATTGCGTAAAGGACGAATTACATCGACTACTTTAGCACGCCCACCACGCAGTACACAGCGTTACCTTTTCTTCTCCGGGAAACTTCAGCCCCGAAGAACGAAAGCTTGTGGGGAAGCTTGTAGAAGCGGGTGTGTCGCGCGTCGTCGGCAAGATATTATTAAGGACGTGCTTGGAATCACCTATCATATAATAACATTATCGTGTCGTTCCGCACGACACGATCCCGAGGACGACGAGTGGACGGGCATTAAAATGAGGTGGAATCCTCGTGAAAACGAGTACGTGGGTAAATTTTCACCACCTTGATAATATCAATATTGTTCGGGTGATGATATTGGGGGGTGGAATTATTCATTCAGAATTTAATCGTTCGGTCATTCTCGTCAATGCGATTTTTCTCGGCGAAAAAATGGTCCTGCGGAGGGAAAAAATCAATTCGAGGGGGTCGTTCCGAGGATTTTTGCAGCACTGGTGGTTGGATAGGAAGAAACCCTTCGGAGATGGCGGCGCTAGTTCGGGAGGGCTGCAACAGGTGTCTGGGGTCGTCGCTTCGTCCAATTTTCTTGATTATTTGAACTGTGTGTGAACTTTATGCGATAGAAAAATTTGTTCTGACGAGGGATTATGGGGTCCTCTGGTGAGATCTTCTGGAGTGTTGAATCAATTTACTTGTGGAATAAAGAAAGTTTACACTGGAAGATGATAATTTTTGTTGTTGTAATTGCTCTCGTGAGACGTTTCTGTCTTTCGGGTGAATACATGCGGTCTACAGAGAATTATGAGGCGCAGGTTTTATGAAGTGAATGTTATTGAGTAGTGTATATCTTTGTCCAATAAACACTTAGAATTAAAAAAAAAATTATCATTATCATTAAAAAAAAAAATTATCATTTGGAAATTATCATTTGTTTCATGGAAATTCTAAGTGTGGAAATTACAATTTTCTTGCCGATAACTGGGTTTTTGGCGAAACTAAATAATTTCGAGGGGACAATTTCTTTTGGGAAAAAAAGGTTCTTTTCTCGTTAATGTATTCTTTCTGTGGTATAAACCTGTGGAGTTCTGTGAGATCAAATGATTGTCGTACAATAGATTGTATTTTCTCCTGCCAGCCGTTCGAATTCTTCTGATGATCAGGATAAAAATTCAATTTTTGTGAAAGATAGTATATTTTTTTCTATCAACTGGGTAAGGGGAGGTTTAACCGGCCAATAAACTATTTTGTTTTTCGAAAAAAAAAATTATAATACTATTTTCAATCCAATTTTTTAGGCCAAATTTGTCGCCAACAGCGAAAAGTTAGAGGTTCATTTATTTAATCGAAAAATCAACTTAAAAAAAATTCCCAATGTGTTTTTTTTCAATATGATCACAAATTTTCGTTATGAGTATCAATTAGAATGAGTGAATTTCCAAAAATAAATGAAAAATTAATGGAAACCGCCAAAAAAATCAACTTATCCAAATTTTAGGGAAGAAGTGTGCTGGCGAAATCTGGATTATTGAGGGAGTCCTCTCAACTATAAACTAATAAAAGACTATTGAACACAGAATTAGCATCAATAAATGAATTTCATACGTAACATTTGGGCAAGATTCTTTTTCTTGAGATAATAATAGGAATTATGAAAAACGAATAAACTCCAAAATGTATCTTCTCCCAAATTTTTTATAATTAAGAAGGAAAAATTTGTCATCATATCAAAAAATATATATTAAAAAAAAACTTTTGGGGATTTTTGTTAAATTGACTTTTTAATTAAAAAAAATTGAATCCCTGATTTTGAGTCGGAGAAAATGTTCACCGACACAATCAGATTCCTGATGAGGAAAAATTGCTCATTTTCGTACGAATAATATGATTTTTTTATTTTGCTTGAAAAACAAAATCGTTTTTACTCGGGGTGAACCGCCCCTCAATTTCCCCCAAGTACACCCGCTCCACTCCATCAAATATTCGCACGTGGAACATCAATTTTTTCAACAAGAGCAAATTTTCTCTCTCAGTATATCTCCTCAGGATGTCTGGAATAACAATTAAAGCTATCCACGAGTTGTTTCTCTCGAATGTAATCATCGTTAAAACTGAAAATGTTATGGAAACCTATGTTATACCGAAGGAAAGGCACGTTTTGAAGAATAATAAAAAATAAGGAATAAAGAAGCAGTGAAGATAATTTCCATTGTTCAATGTCTCAATTATATACCGGGCTTTATTGTTACCGGGGACTGGGAGAATGTAGAGACTCGGGTTTTGCATAAGTTGAATATTTCAGGGAATTTATGGCTCATGCCGAATGATGCGAGGGCTGGTAGCAGTGTGAAAGTACACCGGTAGCGTTGGACGAAGGAGAATGGAAGTACGCGGTGGGCGTGGTGGGGCGGAAGTTCACGTGATCGTTGCATGCCACCCCTTCGTGCTACATGGTCTACCTGGTGGTTCGTGGGGATTGGTCGAGCTTGCAGCGCACCCCGCATTGGTGTCGCCGGGTTGATTCTTCATTCATGGGGCTGTATGTTGGGGACGGATGGGCGACCTAGCGGCCGCTAGAAATGTCGCTGAACTCGCGATAAAAAAAATCACCATAGAAATTCCATTTTGCCGCAAATTACCAATTCATTACCAAAAATCTATTCCCTCCCCTCTGCCGACCGCAACATTCCCCTCGTTTTCTCTCCTGTAAACAAGTTCCCGTTATCATTTCCTCCGCAACCGTCCCATCACCGAAATTCCCGTGAACTTGTTGAGTCCTTGTCCAAGAACAGCACGCGCATTATACATTTGAGAGCAAAGTCGACGACTACTTTCAACGAATTCCGCCAACACAATTCCCACCTCCTCCACCACTCATGCAACACAAATCATCGTCCAGTTATTTTTTAACTCGAGCATCAGCTGTAATCTCCAATCTCCTCCAATTGAGCCATCAGCAGTTACAATTCAAAGCGTTAATCCGTTGTTTATCAACCGGCGAACATGAATTCTTCAATAAACTATTAATTACAATGGAACAATTGGATGCACTGGACGATGATTGAAGACTCCCGTGGACTTATCATAACCAACCGATCATTCACAGTCGAGTGGACACGTCCTTGAGCCCCCCCCCCC